CTTTTATAATTTATTTAATATAAATTTTTAAAAAGTATAGGTTTATTTTTTAAGTGGATTTTTTTTTTTCGGAATTACCGGGACCGACTGTAAATGCGACCTTGTCGCTGTCCCCAGCAGCCGGTGGAGATTTGGTCTTGCCACATGTGCTGCAGTTACTAAACAGCCTCTATGCTGCAACATTTGCTTCGGAATAGCCGACAAGCCATCAATAATATAATAATATATTGCGAAACAGACAACCTTGATATGCAGAATGAAACGCGCCTTGACAGAGTCACAGACTCACCACGCTGCTGCGTTTCCCGCCTCGTGTTTCCAACGTAAATCCGGTTTGAAACAAGTTGAGGTTATTTCATTTCGTCGTTGCTCAATGTCCAGGGGAAGCCTTCTCTAGCGATGCGGAACCAGGTGCAGATGTCGCATGTGGCAAAAGAGATGCTGCGCCGCTTCTTCACACCAATCCAAGTAAATGCGTACCCTTTTGCCTCCAGTATTCACCCAATCAAAGACAAACGTCGCATGTCAGACCCTTTTCTTCTCTGCCAACAAGCCAAGTATAGGCTGCAACTGCATGCGACACCACAAGGCAACGGCGCTCCCAGTCAACCATTTCGAGGTTCCACAACTCTCATGCCAATGGCAACCCGGTAACCCGATCCAAGTTTCTGCTCCCAAGAGTCAAGGCAGTCTGCTGGAATGTGCATCCCAGACGACGGACAAATGATGTCTCTGGAAGAAGCTGACAGCATGCGCCCAAACTGTGGCAAGCATGGCAACAAGGGCGAGCTGAGGGGAAGAGGACCCTGACAACCAGATTTTCAACCACAAGCCGCCATGGATGCTGGTGTCTGGTCAAAGAAGGGGATAGCATCAATACTTGTACCAAGCTCGGCTCGCCCCTTTGCTTCTGCAGTTGGCGATGATGCACCTGCAAAACTTGGCATCAAAACCTCGACACATCATTTAGCACAAGGCCCTGGATGATGTTATAATGCCGAGTTTTCTTACTTCCCAACTTGTAAGAGTTGACGATTCTTTTGCCTGCATTCAAATGTTGGAGACGGAAAATCATCAATACTCCCGGCACAGGGGTGGCTCATCTTTACGATTTTCATCCAGAAATCTCATCTACAACTTTTATTAATTGCTTCGCAGACTATTGCTGTATCGGGAAGTATCAGGCCCATTTTTGGTAATAGAGGCCGGCATGGCTTGATATGCCCTGTCCAATCACCGGGCAGGACATGCATAATCGCCGGTCAACCTGAGCGATCTCACGGCTGGACCAAGAAACGAAATATCCAGACTTCAACAGCCTTGTCCGTAGTGACTTTAAATCATGTACCTACATTGCACTCCGCAATTTCAGGCAATATTCTGGCCGAGACATGGCGGCCATTGCGTTGTAGATGCACATCTCACTCCAAGTCACGATAATAAGCGGTGCATCGCTGACCGGGTCCCGTATCGATTCCTGCTCAGAATGAATGTCCGTTTGGCTTGCAGTAATCTTCTGACAAGAAGTAACGTTCGGAGCAAGAGTCAAAGAGACTCCCTGTTGCAAAGACTGCCGTTAGCATAGACCGCGACTACGACTGCGACAACAGATTCAGAGAGTCCGCCTTACCGCAATGATGACCGGAGGGCTGAACCTCAATCAGCCGCACAACGAATGTAAAGTCCTGCGTTTTGCTATAATACTGCGCTTCATAATTCAACCACTCGATGCTACTGCCGTCCGTACACTCGGCGTGTCCACCATCGCAGTCTCCACACTCCATTGTAACATCGCATATCAGTCGATCATTCTCTTTCACCTGAACAATGAAAGAGACACCAGATCCAATGTAATGGTCTTTTTCGACCCATATATATAGACATGTCGTGTAGGGCCCTTGACAGATGCAAAAGGGCTCTACAGTGCATGACTCGCCGGGGAGTGATAGGTCCATGGCGGGCAGCGGGCTGATGTTTGAAGAAACCGACACCACTCTGCTAATATTCCCACTTCCGTCAAAGTTTATGGGAATATATCGTCCTGGAGCCCGCCTAGCATCAATCCTTAGAGACGGTGCGTGGCTGGACGGCGACGATACTATGCTCGTACTGCTCTCGCTTCCATTCTCGGCATCATCTCGTTGAACAGGCCTTACCAACACTGGGCGCGGAGTAGCACTTGGCGTTTGACCCGTCTCCATACCTTGACGAGGGCCAACATGACCAGCGACTCGTGCTACTGTTTCGCATCTTGTGCTGTAGCCGGTCTTATAGCAAGTATCTCGGGGATCGTAGCAAGACACAGCCGTCTGGATAGTAGAGGTGCCGGAATCGCCGAAATCGCCCAAAAAGCTCAACGCTTGGATGACGCTTTGTGCCACAGCCGGCAATTCGGGATCCGGAGACGGGATATCCGGCCACAGCTCTAATACTCCCACGGCATATGCTGGCGCCGGAGTCTCGGTGGCTAGCCAGGATGAGTCTGTCTCGTCACATCCTACCCCCGTGCTGCAGGCAGTCCAGCAAGTTGTCGCGGGGCTTGCTAGACAGAGGGTACTGCATGTGCTAAACGTTTTGGTGGTACACTCATCTGGCTCGCGCTCGCTGACATGGTTTGGATCAGTGGGATCTTGGAAATCTGAGGGTTGGACTCGTCAGCACGCACAACGTATACCCAGACATCAAATGGAGCCGCAGGGACACCAGAAGCTGTGAATGTACTACAACTGACTTGGCCGTCCGTCGTTCCCGTCGGGAGGCAATGGGATTATAGCAACGGTGGCTGTGTTAAGCAGGAGAGCTTTTCGCTAAGCTTAAGATAAGATGGCAAGGCAAACCAAAGCCGCTAAGGCAAGAGATACAAAGCAGAAGATAATAATTATAACGTTAATAATTCCATGCCCCAGGTCACTTCTAAGGAGCAGAGTTTGTGTTGTGTTTTGTGTGTTTTGTGTGTTTTGTGTTATAATAGCTTACTCTTAGACAGAGGATATAAGCTGTTGGACTGACGTTGTACCTTGTCGGTGAAGACCAGAGCTGACAAGGACCCGACATCAAACTTCATTGGGCCATGGGAAAGTATCCGAGAAACAGCACAAATACATACCTTTGATATCCGGATCATCATCCTCAAACGTGCCACACAGTGGCCCAACGCAACCACCAGTCTCTGGGCAAGGAAAAGGATGACATATGCCGGGGCGACGACAAGATGGACCTACGCAACCACCTCCACGTTGGCAGTGCGACCCATGGCAATCACCGCCTCTGTCACAATTGTCGGATTCGCAGTCACCACCGCCGGTGCAGTCATCGCCGGAGCAGTCACCGCCGTGAGTGCAGCCGCCGTATTTACAGTCTTCGCCTCCGTTACAACCGTCTTGACAGGGCCAATTGCAGTAGTTTTTGCACTTAATGCCACATCCGCCTGTACAGACTGGACCCGGCGGACCGAAAGTGTGCACAACAAACAGTAGGGCATTATTCGAAGTCGTTTGGGTGGACGCGGGACCATTGCTCCATGGCCAAGGCTTCGGAGTAATCGTCCGGTTGACGATTCTCCCGGTTGGGCCCTTGTCGTCGGTGATGACAAACGGCGGCGGCAGTAAACTTGTCTCGGCGTAAATTGTTGTTGAATTCACGCCCGGTGGTATGGCAACGTTGGAGACGGGAAGAGATGAAACCACCAAATTCGGGATTGTAAGAGTCGTCGTCACTGTAACGACGACATACTCGACAGTGGCCGTGTATTGGCCATCGTCTCCGATATATGTGGTGTCCGTAAACCAGCCTACTTCGAGAGAAGTGGAAGAGGGCGGGAACATGATGGTCGTTGGGGACTGTAGGGGTATTGGTGGAAGAATGTATGTGCAAGGTGGCCGGCAAGATACGGTAGCCAAAGGACCTTGCCATATCTTGAGGTCAAGGTAGATATCATCGACCCCTATGTTCCCACCACCTTGGCTGAGCTCCAGCCAAGCCGCGATTTCGCTTGTGTAGCCGTTTCTAGTTGTGTCGTCGAATAGCACGGGAGGCAATCCTCCCCTCGGCGAGACGATTTGTACATTTCCTTTGGTAAAGATGTTGTATGCCCAAAGCCTTTCGGAGTAACTTGTTTCCATCAAGGCCAATTGACAGTTCTCGTTCAATGCACAGCCGAGCCAATTGTTTTGAAAGAACGAATAGAAGCCGGCAGAATAAATGACCACGTCTGTAGAGTTGATGACCCGGAGAGCCCAGGCGCCACGACATAATGAGTCATTGCAGTCACTGAATGTAGGGTCGCCCGCCATGGCGCCAAGCTCATACGGCCTCAGAGCATCGGGATAAGGTTGATAATACGGAGTCTCAGTCTGCAAGTGACCCATGTACACATTCTTTGCCCCAAGCAGCTCGTACTGGTACATTTGAGAATGCTCACTAGACGTGCCGTAGAACCAAGTCGGACCCTGGGACTCAACAAGGAGACCTCGTCCGACATAGATGGAGATCTGAGTTTGGGCAGTCATGGGAATACCGCCGGGGCCTTCGACCGCATCTGCATTTAATGGGCTATCCAAGTCGTGGTCTGCAACCCAGAGCCAGACATTGTCGAAGTAACCGGACGCCGTCTGCGTGACATGCATAAGCATCGCCGCCGCCTTGCACTTGGCTTCCGTCGCCCACCCCAACGGGCAGTCCTGGAGTTGAAGATCACTCCCGGCTGCACCGCCAACCCGGAAATGGCTATCCCACATGGCAGCTGAACCCCGGCCGGATTCATGAACGTTCCATTCCATGAGTATACATCCGGCTGTGGCACCCTTGACGGTGAACATCATGTCGGAAATCTCAATGACACCGGAATCACCATCGTTTCCAACTTGCACCATGACCCTTGGGTCTGACTCTTTTGAAAAGTACGGCCCCGTGCCACGGATCTGGCTCCAGCTTGAGCCAACGATTTTAGACCCTACGGGGACTTTAACAGTTCCCTGGACTTGGTAGATTCCGGCGGGGAAGAAAATAACAGACCCGACATTCCCGGACAACATGGCGTTGATGGCATCCGTTTGATCTCCGGTGCCATCGTTGGAGACACCATTGTGGGTAGCCACTACTATATTGCCCGCTTCAACGTCTTCGTACTGAGGCTTCGCGCGGACAAGGTAGCGATCAAAGTCGTCGAGGAGAGATTGAGGCTTGTTCGTCGCCGGTGTAATAAATGCACTTTTCTTGGTGCCCGAGATCCCATTGGGGAGATACTGAACGCCAGAAACCCACGTGTCAAAGTAGAGCATACCGCTAGAGCCAGGCAGGATTGTTTCCCCCGTGCCGCCTATTACTTGAACCACGGACTGCGAATTCTGAACTTGCAGATTCTCAAGGACAATGCTAGGCTGTTGGTCACCGTTTCGCAAAATGGTGATGGCGTTGGTCACGTCGTGGAAGTAAGAGTCCACAACAGCAACGGATCCGGTGCCTTGCTGTGTGGCCGGTGAATACTCTGTACAGTCAATAGCGACGGGGCAATATTGTACATATATGTTCTTCCAGGTGAAGCCCCAGTTCCAGAGATGTTTTATAGCCGTCAAGCATGACGTGAACTGGAGGTTGCTCGCGGTGAACTGCTGGCTTCCCGCAATGAAGCCAATATTTCCGCCGAAAAAAGTCAGATCACTCACTACGCCACCGCTTCCGTTCTCCATCATGATTCCGACGCTTGTGGTGGCTCTTTGGCCGTCAGCGACGTCCATTTTGAAGTCACAGTTGGTGATACTGGTCGCCTGGCCGACCTGCCAGTGAATACCTGTCGGGACAAAGGCCTGACCACCCTGCTGGTTGTGCGGTTCCATCCCAGTCATATCGAAGACGAAGTTGCGGATTTGTCGCAAAAAGTTGCTTTGATTGATGTACCACTGACTTCCGTTTCCCTGGGGGATATAGACGTTGCTGTCCATGAGAGCGATGCCGGCGAAGTTGTTTGACCCCTTGATGACAGGCTTTGAAACAGCATCACCGACAAATTGCGTATGATAATACTGAATAATTGGACTGGACACGAGGTAGGTCCCCGGCGGGAAATAAACCACAGCGGCCAAGACGGTCGTCGAGCCGCAGTCTGCTTCGCAGCGTGTGTCGGTGCTAGACATGTTGAGCATTGCTGCAGCGCGATTGATAGCAGCAGTGTCATCAGTCACACCGTCTCCGATCGCCCCGAAATCCTTGACACTACGGAAAACCTCGTAGCCCGAAGGGGCGAGAGGAGATTTTCCGGCTTGCGCCAAACTACCGAGCCAGAATCCGCCTTGAACATCTCTTGGTTCAACAGTGACCCCCCAAGAGGGCAATACAAACAAAAGGCCACGTAAGAATCTCATCTTAGCAACTGATAAAATATCCTTCAGAGAGATCTGTCAATGAAGCTTGCAAAGCATAGATCATGAAATATACATTGGGCAAGGTTTCGTTCTGATATATACCATGCACAAAGTATCTCGTTTGAACGAGGCGTGCGAGGAATTGAGGCGAGCTCTGGATCGGTCCTATTAGATTGACCGTTGTGGTACCAGGGCCATAGAAGAAGTTTGCCATATGTCGAGTCGAGTGAAATCATACGACTTCGGCCAAAATATGGCCGAACTGCATCCTCAACGGGCGGACGGAGCAACCCGGGGATGATTACAACTGCGATACACATATACATATAGCGAGCTCAAGGCTTTGCACTACAGGAGAGCTCGTTTCCGGTAGTGCAAATGGCATACGCCATTGATAACTTGTGAGGATTCGCGCTTCGAAGCCGTGTTTGATTCCCGGGTATGGCATCGGTTTCGTGGACAGGTAACCATGCAACCAGCCAATCAACCAAGGATATAGGAGACTGGGATGCTACAATGATAGTCAAGTTCCACCAAAAAAACCACTACTCGTGATATCTGGTCACCACATTGGTCCCGATTACCCGTCACTGCCGTTGATTGCTGGCTAGCCTGAGAGGGGGTGCAATACGACATGTAACAAGATAAAGACTGTGCATCACCAGGGGAGTAGATCGTTCGCTTTTGGTAATACAAATGGCATACGCTATTGGTAGGTTATGTGCTCTTTCGCTTCGGAGCTATGTTTGCTCCTAGGTATGACACTGATTGCATAAACCACCAACCAGCCAATCAATTAGAAAGATAAGAGACTGCCATAATCTACTACAGTATACTAGTGTATACTTCTCGGTGGGATTATATACTCTGTCATGGACTGCATGTCCACGAATTTGTGACTTCTCTATTCACAGACTTGTTGAAACGTATAGACTCTGACAATGCGGATCTTTCAAACTTCTTTCCATCTGGCGTGCCTCTGCACGTTGGCAACCGCTGTTTTAATTACCGACAGATTCAATGTTGACGTGACATCTAGGATGGATGGAGGTTGTGGCTGGGTCGGCGAGCAAAAGTTGAACGAAATTTTTGAGGAGTGTTTGACCTTGGCTGAGACTGGTATCAGGGTTGTCAATGACTACTCAACCAGCAAGGAGGCAGCGCGAATTCTTGACCCTTTCTTCTCGACCGGTGGTTTGAGGTTAACAGCGAGGGAACGGAATCAAATCAAAGGTATCACACGTCCAATTCAACGGGAAAGTTCAAGCAATATTATTGTTTCGTCAACTTACGTTCAACAGCAAAGTACACCAGAGTCCGTGACTGGATCCAAAATGGAGGCTTAGTGAACGGAGGACGGAAGGATAAAAAACCGCTTCTATTCTGTCATCATACGTGGCTACAGAAGGGCACGATGGCAGACGTTGCACGCAGGCCAGACGGCAGTGATATGGACAAGTGGGATAAGTCGCTTAAGCGGAGGGTCAAGATTCTCATCCGTGAAATTCCAAAATATGTGCGACAGCAGAGGGTCCAACAAACAACCCTGAATGCGCAGGGCAAACCTAACTCCATAGCTGTTCCGGTTGGTATTCCCCCTGACATACCGACGTTGATACCCACATTGGGCAAACAAGGAGAGGGTTAAGCTGACTTGAAACTTTCATCATAGTACTGGTCAAAACATATGGGGAGATATTTGTTTGACGATGTGTACAAGGCCACCCGCGGAATAGGATTCTGCAGTAATGCAAAACGATTCGCAGCAACTCAACACATGACACCAAACAGTACAATTACACTTTGTCCCTCGTCCTTCGGAACTCAGAACCCCGTTCTTTCTAGTAATAACATAAAAAAAATTCGCTCCAAACCGCCCGCGCCGGTCAAGCGCGCTCAGCTTAGCGGCTCGGCCGACGACCTTGAGACGTACGCTCCAACCTCGGCTACTCTGTTGCATGAACTGTTCCACTTGGTGCTTGGGAACGGAGCAACGTACCCTAGTGCAGGCGAGATTTATCCTCTGCCGCTTATTCTATCAGCAGACTTTCAAAGGGCGTCTGTAAATCCCGAGACTTTTACGCTCGTGGCCGTGGGATATGATTACACGTTGAACAGCGGGCAAGACGGAGCTGGTAATAAGGTTGAATTTTACTCGGGTTATGCAACGCAGGGTTAAGGGGCGGCTCACTGGCATTTAAGGACATGGAATATAAGTCGATAATAGAGCTAAACCTGGAGCTTACTGAACGAATTTGACAAAGTTTGCCGCGTCTCCCTTTGCTTTCTTCCGGCCATCAAGGTGTAACCAAACCCCTTCTTCACCATGCGCACCATGTCTGAAATGCCCTTCTTACTGCGCCTATTGCCCTCGGGATCCAGCCTGTTGGCCACGGCATCCAGCCACTCGGCTATCTCGTAATTTCCCAAAGAGCGAGCCTCAGTCGCAGCATCACGGCCGGCTCGGTTCCTGGTAATGAGCAGCATCAAATAAGGCGAAGACTCGTCTTCGCCGGCGGTTTCTGGGAACTCGACATTTTCTGGGGCCTCCTCGTCCCCCAGGTCCTCCAGATCCGGGCAAGTTGCCGACCAGTGGTCATATATGAAGCGATAAAGCATAATCACGAGTTTGAGGTTGCCGCTACGCGCGGCAACGTGCAAGACGGTGTCGCCATCGCGGTTCTGATGGGCGATAAAAGAATGGCGTTCCCAGATATAAAACGGGTTTTGAGGACCACCACCACATGTACGCATGACGCGGTCGAACCTTCCCATTAGACTGACGACGCCGTTCATGGACCCTGCCCGGACCGCTACATGCAGAAGCGAGTCCTCCGTATCTGGGTCTATCGCTTGCACGAGTGCAAATGGCGGAATGGAAAAGTTGTGCTCGTCGGTGCGGACGGATTCAAAGACTTGTTGCCTCATCTCCTCCGTCAAGGCAGGACCACCGATGTAAAAGTCTGCGCGATCCTTCTCTGTGATACGGTACGGGAGCCTTGTGCCGTACATGATGGACTGGTCTCAATCTGATGATTGCTCGTTGCTGTTCCTTGGTTCGTTGATGAAGAAGCTATTCTGTTACAGCTTGATTTCAGCGATGAGGGCACAGCATAAGATCTGGCACTATTCGTTGGGCCAAATGAAGAGAAGAAAGACACAGCCAGCACCTTTGTGGATGGATATGGGGGTAGGAAGTCCTCTCTGGGCCAGCGGGGCGACAGAAGTACCAGGCTTCGGGTGTTTTCAGGGTTTGAGGTGATTGTACAGACGTTGATTGGTAGTCGAAACTCGGAGGACAGCGGAGCTGGGGAGAAAACAGTTGTCAGAGACATGCCTACTTCAGTTTGAACGGGGGGGTCTTGGGATGACAACCAACGTACATGATGAAATTTACCGGGATTGGTCAAATAGGATGGCTGGTATTCGATCATTCAACATGCGTGGAGGCAGAGGCGTGAATGTGGAGAGTGAAGATGATAAAAGAAGGCGTGTGTAGGAAGAGGTGGATGAAAGGTCCAAGTTTCTCTTCTGTTGCCAGCCGCACAAGATTGGCTTATGACCCAATGCCGCCACCTCCCCCATCCTGGGAAGGTGCACATGTGCCTCTCAGCCCCCCAACAAACAATAACCCCATGAGGGACAATTGATTGCCCGCGTACCCGTGCCACGCCCCACTTTAAATGCTCGTGTAGGCACGGCATCAGGTAGGGTCAAATGAAAGACACCGTGTGGCTGGTCGTGCCCAGATTAGAGAATAATGGACCACGTAATACACTAGAATTAAGCGGATGGCTGAATTATAATAAAGGCATGGCGCGGCACCGCTGCACGCCGGTAAAGCCCATCTCGCGACAGCCTCAGCCACCGCGTGTAAGCAAGCTTTACATACCAGAGACATAGTTCGTGTAGGTGACTCACTTCCAAAACTCAAAATGGCTGCGTGTATCATACACCGAGGAGGCCTCGTCCCCAATCCACCACTTCTTTCCTCTCTCTATCACTATCGTAGGTCGTGCAAGTATAGTGGATTTTTATCAAGCAGGTTGTTAGGGTTAGGGTTGATTAAAGTTTGTATCTGCGCATCCACAAGGTCCATGGCGGATTGCATATGCATCAGCAGTGGGGTGTGACTTGGGTGTTGCTGTTTGCACCGTTGCTTGACATGTCAGACGTGGTCTGAACCGGCTCAAATGGCACGGGACAGTGCAGGTCTATCTGCAGAGACTTGTCCCTTCATATAGCTGCGTCTTCTCCATTTTTTGTGTTTATGCGTAGCACATTTATACTCATTCTCAATTGACACGCTTATCAGAGTTACACATTTACGATCAAAAACAGAGAAAGAAAAAAGATATTATTAAAGGAAATTTAGCGGCAATAAAGTTTGATATTATCCATCTTTGGCCATGGCCGGCATTGTCGCAACCTGATCTCTCGTCCCTCAGGCACCTCAGCTGCTGAGCCGCTGGAATGACTTTAAGTAAATCTGCAGATTGTTGTGGACAAGCGACACATAATACACTACTGGAAGGTGAGTGCGTTGACAGGATAAGCAACTGGAAGCGGTCAGGCTTGCCTTTGCCACATTGTATGGCCTTGCTGGTGCCAATTCGACAAAATTGAATGGACTTGATGGAAGCTGAATTTTGACTTGTGGCTGCCGATCCAGACGGAGCCGCAACCGATCTTGGCAAGATCTGACTCCACATGCAGCCTGAATATGGGGTACAGCCACGGGAGGGGTGAGTGGAGGACCGATTACCGGTTCTGTTCGCAACCCTAATACCAATCGATACCTATTCTCACATTTCACTATACCTCCCTTCGCTGCTGCGTTCCTACTCACTTCTAAAGTGCCAACGCCAAGTTCTTTGAACATGATGCTATTGGCAATGGAAAGCTTTCGTGTATATCAAGCTGCATCTACCAGCTCAACCGTGTTAGCCAGGGTGAGGGAGGCAACGGCTGTGACCCTCCGCGGGGCTACCATGGTGAGAGAATGAGCCGGGTTCCAGGATATTTCTGTTGAGAAACTATAAGATGTCATGTCTCTGGAGCAGGAAGAATGATGCCTGGAATGATAGTTGAGATGAATTTTCTTAGAACCAAGTTATAATGCTACGCTATATCGTGCAGGTTGAAGCTATTTTCATGTGCTATTGTGATATACGTAACGTCTCGTGACATTAGCATACCCCCGAGAAATATAACATTACAACCAAAGGATGCCAACCTTGGATAGAGAAATGGGGTGGTATCTGGTCAAGTGTCGTGTCATTCGCAAAGACCACACCTTTGAGGACGCCAAATTTACTCTTCAGGATACCCTACCACCTGGAAGCACCAAACGGCTTCTTGGAAAGCGGGATTTTGGACGAGCTCATGTGAAAATTCTGGCTGACCATGTCAAGCTTTAATCCGATAGCCAGCGTCTGCATGGTAGAAATAATCGTTGGCATGGTAGATGCTGGATTCGTGGCGGTGGCTTCGTGACTGGGGTCACGTCGTCCGTCAGTCGACAGAAGATCGCAGCCTTTGCCTGAGTTAGCCTCCAGGAAAGTCTTGATGGGCAGCTTAGTAAAGGAAATGTCATTTGGAATGTTGGCTGGACATCGGTTATTGATGGCTTGGAGCTTGTCGTAGAACTCGTTTGTCTTGGCCTCATCCCAGTATCGATCTATGGTATAGCTAAGGTCGACTAGGTAAGTGATGTATCAGATAGCCACTTTGCCGGGATAGTCATTTGTGAACCGGTTCATGCCCGTGATCAAATCATCGAGAGGAGGACCAGTCGCGCCGCCAGGATGCGAACCAGTGTCGTCGTTTATGTGAGCATCATAAAACGTCCCATCTTCGACGCTGGCGATGCGCATTTCAAGTGCCGCACGCCAACTCGTAACCGGTTGTAGAATTTGAGTCTCAGTGTTTGCGGCGCTACCTCCTGCCCACCACGCACCGTCGGTTATTTCATTCTTGGCCGCGCCGTGTGAGTTCGGGACAAGTACATGGCGCAGTTGGCGGTCCTGGGTGAGAGCCAAACAATCCTAACAAGCCATCAATTCTTCCCCGAGTCCAGTCGCCCTGGGGGTACCAGGAGTCGGTTCCTGGGCAGTTTTCCTCTCCGGAGGTGGCTCAATTGGTGGAATCTCGAATAGGCTGATGTACGCCCAGCCTGGATGACTTTTAACAGCTAGGTTTGCCTCTGATGTGATTGTTGTTCCACTGCTGCTCAGTGCTGACAATCATGTTCTTGGCACCAATCGATGTGATTTGCTGCAAACGATTGTTATCATAGTTGTCATCGATAAGCCAAAAAGACTTTTGACAGTTTCGTGTATCGAATCATTCTTGCGTGTAAGTGGTAAACCATGAATTGGTCCCAGCGGCACTCACATGAACACTCTGGCAGTTCGTCATGGTGACAGACCACGAAGCATCACAACCATCGGCGTCACCTGCTTCCCAAGAATAACCAGGGTCACTATCAAAAACGCCAATGGTATTCTCAAACAGAAAAGACGGCGCCGGCGTCGGCTGATAGTATGCTGATTCGGTTAGCAAAAAGGTGGCGAAGATATTTCCAGCGTCGTGAAAGATGTACCGGTCGTATACTTTATGTTCCGAGGCTGTTCTGTACCTCTATGTGGCTTGTCGGCTTTCAATGAGTATGCCACGGGCACTATAGCCGGAGACCTGCTCCATGTTACTATGCATATCATTTAGATCTGGGCCATCCATCTGGTGATCCGCAACCGATGACCAGAAGTTCTCGAAATTCGTGGAAGCTTGCCTGATAGGGCAACCTGCAAGTTTGGTGAGTTGGTTCCTCTTGTATTTGGAGGACACTCGACGGGCATGAGCTCCGTCCTGACTGCTCCTCCAAGACGAATATGGACATCCCATGACGCCGCATTGCCCTTGTCCTTTTCTTGTATGTTGCATTCCATCAGTATAGCGCCAGGCGTCGGGCCATTGCTAGACAAAATCAGATCCTGTATCTCTGCTGTGCCGACGTTTCCCGTATTTCCCACCTTGAGCATTGCAGCGGGCTTCTTCGCGTACAAGAACCAGTCACGTTGACATCGAACTGAGATCAGGTTTCATCAACAATCCTGGCTCCTTTTGAAACGGTAATGGTGCCCTTGCGAATGCAGGTTCCAGCATCAACGTAGATGATCTTACTGCCATCTCCTCCTGGTTGAGTACGCCTTGCACAGGAGCAGTGTCGTCAGTTGATCCATCGCCTTCAGCGCCTTGAACCCAAAGGTGAATGAAATTTACCGGGGGTTGCTTTCCAGCGAAAGGATGCACACTTCCGCAACGCCAATTCGGTGAAAACTATGTTATTAAGAGCCTCCTGAGGACGCCCAAGAGCATGCTGCCATGGATAGGAACTCAGAAATGATGCTCGGCACTTGCGAAACGTATTAGGGAAAGTCGAGCATTGCGTTATCCAAAAAAAAATGTATAGGAAGCATTGATACCTGTGCAAGGTATTGACCATTTCCCGCAAGCTCTGAAAAGCCCATAACGTTGTAGCCTTTCGGTCTTGACATAAACTCGGAGCCCAGCTTCGGAGTCGGCGCAACTCTTGAAGCCGGAATACAACGCACCATGGTATTAACCCGAATGGCCATCTTAACACTACGTTTCTGCTGCTCAATCGTATGTATTCAAAAGGGGGGGTACACTCAAGTGCAGCGTAACATACTGAAGCACGATGAAGCGGCTCACGCCGACTCAATGAAGCAATTGCCCATCGCCTGCTTCAGGCTCATTCGGCGTGATGGGGACATGTTTGATGGAATTACGCAAGGGCACTTGACATATTATTAATCCATGTACACTATCATATTATCGTCTAATTTGATCTGAAATGCTGTTCCATATTGGTGAGCAATCTAAACCCACGGTCTCGCTTCTGTTCTCGCTTCGGCATCTACCAAGTCTCGCAAAACGGTCGAATAGCAATCTCCGACGTCATGGAATAAGTGCTCTGCGCATGAAGATGCCAGTAGCTCTCGGCGATCTGCAATACGAAACGTTACTGTGCATCCATTATCGACTCTCAAGGGCATTCACTCACCGCATCAGGATCTAGCTTTGCATCCCAAGCTGAAAATAGTTTTAATAATCTCGTCAACGGCATTCGAATAACTCCATCGATAATGACATGGGCAACGTGCACCCCTTGCGGTTCGAATTCGCGAGACAGAGTCTGCGACAGTGCTCTCAGCGCATGTTTAGAGACGGTGAATGGCTGCATCCAAGCGTTCGCTTTTACGGAGGCCGTTGCGCCAGTAAAAATCAGTGTGGGCACAAATTCTGTGCTTCCTCTGGAAGATAGCAGAAGAGGCAGAGCGGCTTGAGCAAAAATGAATGCCCCGGTCCTTTGTGGTTTGTGTTGGTGAGCGGCTTCGCGTGGTTGTCTCAACGTGTTACTCACAAACTGATGTCAAGGCCATAAGCCAGGTCATCCTGAGACTGCCATAGGAACGGCTTGGGAAATGGACGACTGCTAGCATTGAAGATTGCGGCCGCACATTTGGTTCCAAACTTCTCCTTGATCGCGTCAAAGGCGAGGTTCATGCTCTCTTCATCCGAGACATTGGCCTGGAAGCTGGCAGCGATCCCTCCATCAGCCTCGATTTGCGAGACCAGCTCGCTCGCAAACTTAGATGACCTTGCCAAGAGTGCAACGGGATACTGTTTTGCGAATCGTCTGGCGACGGCAGCGCCGGTTCCTGCACCTGTTGCAGGTCAAACTTGTAAGCCCAAGACCGTGGAAATGCTGGGCATTTGTTCATCCTTACCAACCCCTGCAATAATAGCGAACGGTCGTTGAGCCATCTGCAATTGTTGATCAGATAACGGCAACATGAACAAAGACCATCCTCGTGGAACAATACTTTACTTATTGAGATTGGCTAGAGGGATCAGCATCAGGCAGTCGAAGAAGGGCCGAGGAGCTGATGAGTAATCTGCCCGACCATCCGGTTACAATGTCGCCGTTGGTGATCAGATAAGCATTGAGAGGAAAACTGATTAACACGTAGTGTTGCATTGCGACTGCATCGGGATAAAGCCAAACCACTAAGCAAGCCACACATGGCCTTCTTGCCGAGGCAATGTAACGCTTAAAGGTTTCCTTAGCAATTCTGGTGCACCCAAGGCAGCTGTAGTTTTATTCATACCTGTTGTATTTACGCAAGTTTTTTTTGTCAAATGCCACTTTGGTAAATGACTGGTTGCTCATCATAGCACATTGATAGCAAACCAACTCACTGCTGGACGAATTGGCGGAGACGGAACTCCTTCACATTCAACACATTATCATGGCATCTGTTTTCGTACTCATCTTGGCAACCGGTAAGTCGTACCTGGAGCAGCATGGTTCGAAGGCTCACCACCCTTGATGCAGGCTCCCCGGACGTTGACACAAAAATTGCTCTAAAATTCGCTCCCCAATACCCGCTCGCATTCATTTGCGATACAAAAGATGATCTAAAACAGACTGTCAAAGCGGTCCAGGACGCAGACGGAGAGATGTTACTCTTCGAAGCCGACCTCTCTACAAACGACTACCTCCCAGAATCCATCGCCTCCGTAACCAAGAGCTTTGGGAAAAGATGCGCTGCCGCAATATTTCAATTTCGCACCAGGCTGAGACCATCACTGCCCTTCCTAAAGCAATCTACATCGTATATTCGCGAGACGGCCGTATCGCCCATTGCCGGTGCCTACGCGTTTGCTCAACAAGCAGTTCCGTTGCTCTTCAATCACGCTGACCGCGCAGGGTATCCTCCGACTTTAATATTCAGCGGATCCTCGGGGACCTCGAACTCTGATGAAATTATCGACAACGCTCTGGTTGCTTTATCCAGGAGCCTGGGAAGAGAATTTGGAAAGAAAGGCATTCATGTTAGCCACGTCAAATTTAAGAAGGGCCGCGAAACATCTTCGGGTACAGACCAAAGGGCGGCGGATACCAAAGCAACATCAGTGAGTTGCTCTCGATAAAAAGATGCTTATATTCTGTTTGCTAATACTTGTTGAAAAGATTGCTGAGACATTTTGGCATCTTCATACGCAGCCTTTGTCCTGTTTTAGTAATGAGATGACCATCTAGCTAAAGTTGACACCACTTATTTGCTATTTAGAGCCCCCGAAATGAAGCGGTGATGGTTTGAATGTTGAGTTTATGCGTTGAGGGGTCGACGGTGTCTATTCTAGCGAGACAAGGGATATCAATGAGTTGACAAGGTTGCTGACCGCTGCTCGTAGAAGCTATGTTCCTAAGTGATTAGAATGAAGTATTCCTGAAAGACAATACTACCCAACAGCAAATCAAAGTTATCTAAACATAATATCTATATATATACGCACAGTGAGAGGCAATTGCTAGCTGCGGTACTGGCGGGATCACTGCCGCAAGCTATTCTGTCGCTAAACACAATGGCTTCACGTGAAAACCGAGAGGATTACCGATCGAGGTACGAGTTGAAGCCATGGAGAGATGAAGGGGCAACCAGGCTTTATGAAAGAGGATCGTAAACAACAGCAAGCGAGTAATCTTGCAGATACTAGTATGATGCACATATATACGGAGGGCGCATTCCCCAAGGGAGGCGGCTCGGCGAATTTAAGGGCTTGGGATGAGACACTTGGGCAAATGCATTCAGCCTATCAATACATACACCAGACTCTATAACGCGAGCGGTATAGGCCGATTTTGCGGGACAGGAATTGCATGGGTAGAGACAAAAGATCCTGATCAAGTATCAGCAGTGTAGGGTATAAACATCGTATTCAAAGATCGTACAGCGCGTGCTGGTTCAACCTGATTCCCAATTTAAGCTCCAACCAGGAATTGCTTTTCTTCGCCATGGCAAAACCTCTACTACAGTCCGCGCGTATCTCGCCGTTTCTGTGGAATAATCGACGACAAACACCTGCTACTACGTGAAGAAAAGAACTCCACGTGAAACCTGAGACGAGGAGCCCCTCGAGGGCGGTAATACACATCTATTCCATCCATCCAATTATTCACATGAAGATGTCTGGTCATCCTGCGGTGGCTTAGTTAGTCATGACAGGCGGGAAAGTCACAAGAAGTCAATATACATACCGACAAAAAGCACGACGGCCATGTGAAGTGCGCTGGTTCTACGTCCGCCATGGAAACGAGCACAGACAATCTTCATCATCTCATGTCCGAGTACGTGGATTTTCCTAGTGAGAGGCTATGGAAGGTATGTCTTCGCTTGAAAATGATGATGGCACATCGCTTAGCCCGCGTGGCGTAAGGCATCAATCACTACGCGAGGGCTACTCACTCAAATAGATCACACGACCTTGAAGCTGCGAGCTGGAAACCGAGGAGCTACTAAACTCTAAAGTTTTATTCAGGCTAGTTCGCCAGGAGTAACACAGCGTAGTGGCACCAGCCAAAACTCTACCAGTGCTCTAGTAGCCTTTGATGACAAGCATATCGCTTAACCTTGAAAACAAAATCAAGTCAGAACTTCAAAATGTCGATTCTATGATATCCAAACGAGCTTCATAATCTCATGTAGATGCAAGCCGAAAGGGGAGAGGGTCAAACCGTCGCATCCGCATAAGCCGGAAAAGGGAACCAGACAACATGAACCCATTATGGTAAAGACTGGAGTCTTTTGGAAGCAAAATGTCTGCGAAATAAGTGTCTTCTTGAAGTCCGTCCAAGTATTCGGTCCGTCGGTAGGGCCAAGCTAGTAGATTCGTGGTTGCAGGGGGCAAGACACGAAGATGGATATGTATTTCTAGTTTTTCGACAGTTCCTAGACTCAAGTCGGAGGGCTCTTTGGCATGCATTAGCATGGCACTAGGCTCTCAATTTGCCTAGAAAGTGTGCCGAGGCGTCTTGGCTATAAGATTACCCTTCCCACATTTGAAGACGTGATGCCTGTTCAAGCGTCGGGTTAAGCTTTCAGTTTAACAGGCAGTAGACCGTCCAAAGGCAGGTTAAGAGTTCTTGGGCAAACAAAAACGAAATTATATAAGACGCTCGAGTCATCACCTCCAGAATGCTCCCTAGCGCTTTCGGCTCATGCTATTCCCTTTCACGAATCCGGATATATTCAGCGACTTCTGGGCACATCAAGACAACATTACGACAATATGCGACCTATGGTTTTTGCTGGCCTCGTGGGCACGATACTTGCCATCGAGAGCCCGGAGGAATGTGCCGACAGATGCACTCTCGCGTGGTACGAGTGCAAGGGTATACACGGGGGACGTTGGCCCTGCGACGGGGCGTATAGTGTCTGCTTGGGTTTTAATCCTTTCACAAGGGGCTACGATGTGCCAATTGCTTGCAGGGGCAAAAACAAGCCCTTCGACCCGTTTGCTCCGCCTCCCCCTTCGCCTCCTCCGCCTCCGACTCCGACGGTTGCTACGGATGTTCATACACATGAGTGTCTCTGGGCGTACAAAAAGTGCATCAACAAACCCGATGCCAACAAGTCCACATGTCGTGACAAATTCCACGCCTGCCTGAAGCACAAAAGTCTCAAAGCAATGATTGAGAGGAGGATGATGGTGGGCTCTGAGACCACGGAGCCTTCCATCACAGAGCCTCCTTCTCCCTGCGCTACTGATGATTTGGAATGCTTGGGGCACCGTATTTCTTCCAGTACCACGGAAAATCTTGGGAAAATGATGACGACGGGCTCCGAGACCACGGAGCCTCCTATTGCCGAAACGTCTTCTGCCTGCGCTACCGACGATGTGGAATGCTCCGAGCACAATCCTGCTCCTACTACCACAGAAGATCTCTGGGAAACGATGACAACGGACTCCGAGACCGTGGAGCCTTCCGTCACATCCGTCCCATCCGTCCCAAAGGGCCCTTCTCCCTGCGCTGGAGGCTGCTTGCGCGACTACTACAGCTGCTTACTGGTGCCCGACTTCAACCACTGCCCGACAATGCTCAATCAATGCCTTGGCTACAACCCCTTCTACAGCGGCAAGCTGGACCTTCCTATTGCTACCTGCGCCAAAGAGCCGACATCTACTTCCACTACTCGCACTCCAACTCCCACACCGACCCTCGTCCAGGACAAGTGTGTCAAAAAATGCACTGACATATTTAACGCATGCAAGCGCTTGCCCAACTCCCACGAAGCAGTTTGTGGTCTTCATCTCATGCAGTGTGTCGGATACAACTATTTCAAGGAAGGCCTAAAGTTTCCTACCACCTGCAGAACGCCCACGTCTACCCCTACCCCTACCTCTACCCCTACCGCCGATCTCTGCGCTCAGAATTGCCTCGACGAGTGGGAAGGCTGCAAGAGCACAAGAAAGGACCGAGCCCGCTGCAAGTCTGCCATGACTGAATGTCTAGGCTACGACCCCTTCAAGAAGGGCCACAAGAAACCTACTGCTTGCCAGCGATCAGATGCTCCGTCTCCGACCGCCCAACCTACCCAAGCTGCCCGCGCCAAAAGCTGCACCGATGAATGGCAGGCCTGTCGTTCTCGCCCTGGGGCGGACCAGTCCCTTTGCTCTTTCAACTTTGCAAATTGTCTCGGATACGCTCCATTCTCGAACTCGACAAATTCGACTTTGCCGGTTTCGCGCTCCAGGAGTATACCCGCGAATATAACAACCACGGCCCCCTTCCCCTTTACCAACTTGACCAAGGCCGTGTCAACAACAACTGCCGTCACCGAGTTCCCTATGTCTACATCGTTCAGTTCTTCATCTCAGACTCCTGTTGGCACCATCTGGGTGCCTACTAGTACCACGAATTTCACGGCTACCCTGACTGCGGCCGCGGGTCATCTCGAGCCGGCGATGCTCCTGGTTGTTCTTGCTGTTGCTTTGCTGTAGCGTGTAGGTCCTAGGTAACTGATGAGAGATTGCTAATATTTGCTGCAAAAGAGTTTCCCATCACTTAGCTGCAGCATCAACTAGCTGAACTGCATTCTCAATTCAAATTTCTTAATAAAATCTTTGTTATCTTGTGATACAATCTGTGTTGATGATATGTTTAGGGCAAGTGACGTCTGGCTCTTGGCTCAAGATGTGATGCCTGAGCTGCTGCAAGTTGATTGGTTCACCAGCGATGAAATCCACCCGGCTTTGGCCTGGAGACCCCGCAATTTTCCCCCCATTCTCATTCTGGGCAGCTCCTTCCTTGCACCGCGGAAGCACATGCAGCTTGGCACCACGATGAAGTGAACATTGAAGCGCCAGCTGGCGTGAGGCGGCAAAATCCCCGACTTTGCCTCACCCTGACAGTCCATACTCCCAGCCCAACTCTCCTGCATTCCGCATCCGTCCCGTCCTGCAACATCCAACGGAGGCATACTGCGCATTGGGCTCCGCCATGCAAGCCAATGTCGTTGCTCGGCGCACCCAGTTTTCCAGTTGTGACGAGTGCCGTCGATCCAGAGTGGGTTGCGACGCTCTGAGCCGTAGCAATGAAACTGGCGACTCGGCTGCTTCTTGCACCCGGTGCTTGAATCGCAACCAGCAATGTACTTTCAAGGTATACGTGCTTCCTTTCTTCTTCCTTTGTACAGCGACTCCGTGATCAAGGCCGGCTAACTCGCGCGAAGTGGATGAAAGAGAAGGGTGCCGAGCCAAAGCGCGCACCATTGGGCCGACGCAAACTTCGCCGGCAATCCGAGATATCTAGTTGTGGTGGCCCGAAGGACCTCAATGACAGACAGGATGACCGAATGGCCTCGTCTCCTCGTGATCTTTGGGACCCCACCAAGCCTAGGCAGACCACTGTCTCTTCACCGGCAGCTACAGATTCGACAACCGGTTCGATTTCGGACTTGCTGAGCCCGCTGGAGAATACCTGGCTTCAGGCTCTTTACTGCGATGGTTTTGACGCAGTTTTCGGGTCTTGGATGGGCAGGGACGGCTGTCCATTCCTGTATGCTTCTTCCTCCTTTCCCGGCATTTCGTAAATTTTGCTAATTCTCCAACTATAGCTTCGCCGAACATAGCCTGGCAGGGAAGCATGTCAACATTGCCGAGGTTTGTGGTCGGCTTGACCGTTGGGTAGCTGAGAACTCTGACGATGAGAGGAATAACCCTCTCCGCGCTCCAGTCCGTGAACCTCGCATAAAAGACAGATTGATTGATCAGTCAATGCGAAGCACGATTGCTGCTTTTTCAGCCCGATGGCTCTACGTTACCGTCAAGGGCGCTGGGTCAGAACAACACCACCAAAACATTGTGCTTGCCCTTTGGAGAACTGCCCGGCGAGATATGCTTCGAGTCATTAATCGACCGTCGTATCGGTCTATGCTTTCGTTGTTTTTGTTCGCCTTGACACCGATTCCCACTGGCATATCAGAGGAGGAGGAGATTGATGGCATTTCGGGACAAGCATGCGTGCATGCGGCCTTGCAACAGATACAAACCCTGCGAGCGAGACAGCGAAACTTACAATTCAGTGGATCAAAAGTGTCACCGTCCACAGTCAAGTCAAAGTCCATCGTGGCTAACCCCGATGCTATCGGCAGCTCAGACTTTATTGCCGCAGAGAGTATTGCTTACTGGGCAGCTTTAACATTCGATACTTCGGCATCTTTAACTCTCAACTGTCGCCCCTTGCTATCTTCTGGTCTGTTCGGATTCGAGGCTGAACTTCCTTGGCGACTGATACGAACTGGCGCGAAAATGTTTTATGAAATGACAAAGACTTGGCGCGCTGATGGAGTCATCGACATGACAGATGAGCGAGCAAACCAAATTATTGCCAGCGGAAGTGCATGGAAACTTCTTGCGTGGAAGTTGACATCAGTCTTCAAAGAGGCTCTGCGCGACGGACATAATGAATCGGAAGTCAGTAGAGCGTTCGGCTTTGTCACTGGCGCAATTCAACAATTTGACGACGTCTTCCGACGACCTTTAGAGGCGTGTCAAAGGCGAATGCACTTTCTCGGACAACAAACAAAACTTCGCTGGTGTATGTGATGTGCAGCGTGCTGTGACGCATGTTGAGCTCTTTGCTAACCTTTAACCTAGACTCCTTGATGTTGCATTATCATCTTAGCATACTGATGTTCATCGACATCATTGAAGCCACTGAACGATACGACTTGTTGGCCAGCGTGACTGAGACCAACGCCGACGCAGAAAACGCTGTTATGAATGCCCTGGTTTTTGGGCTTCAAAACTCCTTTACCATGACTGTTGCATCACCCTCCACTCAACAAGATGCCGAGGACGCGTTCGAGGCATCTTTCACTGTACCCATCATATCTATCGATCCATACCCGCATCACGTCGTTGCTAGTGTCCAGCTCATACGGAAAGCCATTGACAGGGACTTGAGACAAGGCAAGATTACTGATGAATCGCATGCAAGTCTTCGATCTACACTGGAAGCGGCGCTAAGCCATCTTCCCCAAAGTTCCAAGTCCGTGCAGGCAGCACGGAACCGATCTTCTGAGATGGGAACGACGGATGCGATATTGTCGCGTCAAGATCCGTATGTAGTCTTGCAAGCACAGTTCGCGGAATAGCACATACTCAAGGTTGATTTACCAGATGATTCCATTGGCCTTTCAGCTTCATGGGCATTTTGCCGGTCGAAGCTCGTGGCCAGACCGTACCACCCGGTGCCTCTAGGCCTCCTCCTTTTATCCGATCTATTAGATGCATTTCTTGATAAAAGGTACTAGAAAGCAACGCCCTCCATTTGGCTCCTGCGTCGACTAGGGTCGATAGTGGCAACCAGTAAACGGTACTAATTACCTGACCAAGTAGACCCCAAGCTCCGACGCATTGCAACACAAAGCCATGTGGTAAAGTCAGACTATTGGACCGCACCGACGCGGGGTCCCTGTTCTAAAAGGTAATAGGTCTGTCTAGCTTACAATCTCTCATTTTGACTCCCAGGAATAGATGAATGATTGCTGCGGCCCCGGTCGACCTGCCAGTAGATGGATCCGATGTGCCAGATCGATGTCAAACTCCCTCCCCACATCGGATCCGATCACTGTGCTGCTGGGCTGGCGAAACTCAACTGCCAAGTGCTAAATTGAGAAGCAACGTTGAGATTCTTTCAAATTATCATTGAGATCTTACTTCTTTCTCTAATTGTCAATTTTCCCATCCTTCCATTGAACGACAGATTGGCTAAAATGCATGCGACAATAGCACGGCTGGTGAGGTCATCAGTGACTGTTCTCGGAGCAGGTTCACAAGGTAGACGCCTGGCTTACATGGTACGTGATAGGCTTGCGTTGATGAAAGGTGGCTCATTTTTAATGGCCTTTTGTAGTGGTCAAGCAGAGGCAACGATGTCCACTTGATTGATGGAAAACCAAGTCAACTCCAGGAGAGCGTTGAGAATGTCAATCAACTACGATCTCAACTGGATCCAAATGGCAACTTTGGCAAAGTGCGTGCACATTCGCCAGATTTCATGAGAGCTGCCCTGAGTGAATCATGGCTCGTGGTCGAGGTACGTTGCGCCATGAATACAGTGATGCGATTAGCTGTTAAGACTGTCGCAGTGCGTTCCCGAACGCTTGCGCCTGAAGCAGGAGGTCATGGCCCAACTTGATGACTTGGCGCCAGAGGAAACAATCATTGCATCCAATTCTAGCAGCTACCCTTGTTCTGAACTTGTCTCTGGGCTATCTCTGAAGAATGCGAAACGAGTTTTGAGCGCCCATACCTGTACGACCGCCGTCAATCCGCTTGTCTTTATATATGCTGACTGTTCTTTTTGTAGACTGGCCACCGGAAACTACAGGTAACTGGAGAATATGTCTTAAGTATTGGGTTGAAGTATTCTAACAGAGAATAGTCATTGAGATCATGGGGCACGAATCGACTGATCCATCTCTGATTCGAACCATGATGGAGCGATGCGCTGCACATGGATTTTCGCCATTTCATGTGAGAAGATCATCAATTGGATACATTTACAATAGGCAAGTCATTCATGTGCGCGATGGGCGTCAACGCGGTATGGAGTCTTCTAATACTGCATAGAATATGGGCTGCCATCAAACGAGAAGCACTCCTAACAGCAGCGGAGGGCGCGGGTACACCAGAGGAAATTGACGCCATTTTTAAAGGCGTATTGAAGACCGAAAAGGGTCCATTTGAGCTTATGGATATTGTCGGCCTCGACGTAGTGTTCGATATTGAGAAGCATTATGCTGCTGCGAGAAGAGATATCCCGGAACAGCCAAGAAGCTATTTGGCCAGTTACCTTGAGAAGGGACATCTCGGCGCGAAGAGTGGACGGGGGTTCTACAGATATGACAGCTCTCCATCGATGCAGCCAGCAAGTCATCAGGAGATTGCATCTACTACAGCCGCATGAGATAGACGCAAGCCAGAGCACACCACGTATAGGTGTTTGGGCAATAGACAGAGGCATAGCTGAATCCGAGTTTTAGCCAACTCCAACAACTTGGACAAACTTGACCCTGTTCCTGCGCCCGTTGCTCCCCGCGCCACCGAAGTGGAGGCGACTGCCTAATAACGAACAAGCAACTCTCGGGCTATTTACAGCGTCTTCAACGATGGCATCTTCTCCACTTCGGATCCGGCGCAGACAACTCTGAAATTCGGCTTGACCTTATGCATATCATGATCTGCCCTGGCGCCCGGATAAAACCAGGAATCGAACGAATGGATGGAGAAAAGAAAACTTAGCCGTCGCACGATGGGCCCAGTTGGGATGGCGGTCAACCCCGCGTTTTCGAAGCCACAAAAGCTGGGGAAGTCTAGAAATAATGTGGAGAGGGGCGAAGAAAAAGGGATGAGACGGGCGGTTGTCCGCTCTTCAGGTCCACTCATTGCCTTGTCTGGGGTGATCTGATGGTCATCTCCATCATGGGTGCGCCGCCAGAGTGAGCGGAGTTGGGCACGATGCCGCGAGCTGAATAAACCTGGCTTCCGTCTTCAAGCAGGAGTCGCCATCGGAGGCTCAGCTGTTGTACCTCTGCCAGGTCCGTATTGAGCGGGGGAAATGGAGTCGTGTCTCGAAAGTTGTTTGTTGAATCTCAACATTTACTGTGCAACCAGCGCAACGGTGTGGCTTTCCGTGGCAGGCAAAGTGTTGAACGGCGGCACTGGGTACGTCCCTCGTGCATCACAAAGTTAAAGTTCTGACAAGGTTCCAACGTTAGTTTCTTACTTGGGTGGCATCCCTTGCCCGTATAGGCCAATTCCTCCAGCAATAATGATGCCGACCCGTTGGTGGCTGCCTACCTACTCCGTACACTTGTCTACTTGCCGTGTCTCGGTTCCGAAAGAAGACCCAGGCATTGAGATGATGGATGGGGCCTTGGTTCAAAAGTCTGTCTGAGCTCCATTCCTATGCAACACAAACACAGTATAATATATGAGCCCAGGTGCTCCCTAGTTTCTCGCTCCCCATCGATAGTGCGGACGAGGTGGAAGACGCTGTCCAATCTGCCATTCCTCACACACGCTGCTGCGCTACTTCATTGCCGCCCGCAGACCTGGAGGTTTCTTCTCCCGCCACCATGATGTCCCGCTCGGGCCAATCGACTGAAAAGGCCGTAATGCCGTTCAACCATGATGAATATGCTGCTGGTGACAACAAAGCTGTCAGCGACACGGATGACATGGGCGTTGGAACGGTCGCAACACCACCGAATTTTGACCATGTTGATGAAAAGAAGATTCTTTGGAAGGTAACCATCTCGCGCCTCACTTCGCCCACTGCCCACAGAGGAACGGCACGCTCATGTACTGTAGATGGATATCCGGTTGATCCCCATGCTGGCGCTCCTCTACCTTCTCTCATTTCTTGACCGTAAGCGTCCTCTCACACCACACGCGGAGCTGTAACTGAGAAGCACAGGCGGAAACATTGGCAATGCAGACGTCGAAGGCCTCAGTGTCGATCTCGGCATACAACCAGACCAGTACAACTGGTGCCTCACCGTCTTCTTCTTCACCTACGCGGCGTTCGAAGTCCCCTCCAACCTGCTCCTCAAGAAGCTCCGCCCTAGTCGCTGGTTGCCCACCATCATGGTAGCATGGGGGCTCGTCATGACGCTCATGGGCTTGGTTCAAAACTACCACGGCCTCTTGATTGCGCGCATCTTTTTGGGCGTCACTGAAGCCGGCCTCTTTCCCGGCGTAGCTGTGCGTTGCGTTTCCTATCTCCCCTCAAGAATCTCGTGGAAACTAACGGGTGTAGTATTACCTGACAATGTGGTACTGCAGACACGAAATCCAGTTTCGCCAGGCGCTCTTCTTTAGCGCTGCTTCCGTGGCTGGTGCTTTCAGCGGCCTGTTGGCATTTGCAATCAGCAAGATGAACGGCACCGCGGGGCTCGAAGGCTGGCGATGGATCTTTATCCTCGAGGGAATTGCCACCGTTCTCGTCGCGTTTTGCGCCTTCTTCCTGATCCATGACTTTCCCGACACGGCGTCGTTTTTGACCGAGGATGAGAAGGCGTTTGTGATTCATCGCCTCAAGTATCAGGGCCAGACCATGATGGCCGGTGGCGATGCCGAGAGGCAGGGAAGAGCGCAGGTGGAGCAGGCTGAGGAGTTTGAATGGAAGTATGTCTGGCAGGCGTTCAAGGACTGGCAGATTTGGGTGAATATCCTCGTGTACTGGGGTGTAAGATCTTCTCTCATCTCGTTGCTTTTGCTGCGGGCAACTAACTCGGGGTCGTAGATTGTCTGTCCACTCTACGGAATCAGCTTGTTCCTGCCGACGATTATCAAGAGCTTGAACTATTCCAAAACGGAAGCGCAGCTCATGACGGTCCCGATTTACATCACTGCTGCGATATTGGCCGTCATTGTTGCCTTTTGCTCTGATCGAGTCGGCAAACGGAGCCCGTTTGTGATTGGATTCATGTGCATGATGCTGGTGGGATTCACAATGTGAGTTCGAGGATCCGCTGGGTGTCGAAACATTGGCATATCGCAAGGAGAGTCGAGGGCTGACCGCTCGCAGGTGCCTTGCCTCGAGCAACCCCAAGGTCGTGTACGGCGGTGTTTTCGTCGCCGCATGTGCGATTTACCCTGCGTTCCCTGGCATCATCGCCTGGCTGTCGAACAACTTGTCCGGCAGCTACAAACGCAGTGCGGGCATGGCCTTGCAGATTGGTATCGGTAATCTCGGGGGTGTAAGTTTCTGCCCGGTGCCTGCTGCCATGACTCTTTGCTAACAGTTTTTATTTATGCAGGCCATGGCATCGAATTTTTACCGAAAGAAGGACAAGCCTCGCTACTTCCTGGGTCACGGCCTGGAAATCGGCTTCATTGTGCTGGGGATCGCTGCGGCATTTATTCTCGTCCTGGGCTATAGGCGGCTCAATCGCAAGAGGGAGAGACAGTTGGCTGAGGGGCAGGACAAGAACTACACTGCGGCTGAATTGTCGGCGCTGGGAGACAAGGCGATTACATTTAGATACATGTATTAGGTTGTCCGGATGTGTAGTTTACCTTGATTGTAATGAACCATCTGATGTAGGGTCCAAGTGGCTATTGAGGCCTTTTCTAACCGCTACGTATAGCATGTTGCTTTGCGGGCTCGTGTCTGCGAATGGCGTGTCGTGAACCTTGCTCCTGCAAAGCGACTAGTTACAGTAGTATTATTCTAAACTCTATTTAATATAATAAAGGGATAAGTATGCAGTTTATCTGCTATAGGTCTTATGTATATAATACTAGAAATAGTATTAGGTTGTTTGTTATTTCCCTCTAAAGACAAATAATAGTACAAGTATAATACAATAGTGTCTAGTAATATAGTATTAAGTATAACCCTTGGATATAAATATATTTTATCCTTTAATTTCCGCAGACTTCAGGCGCTCCATCATCTTCCTGACTCATGAAAGGAGGCTCTATTGTCTCTATGCCAAGCCATTCTTCCATATCATCGCTCAGAGACCGGAATACTTTCGTCACGCTCTCAAATGGATCGTTGGCCAAAACAGCCGCGCCAAATACCACATTGGTAGCCTCTAACAGGTGCTTAACCGCCCTTGCCTTGTCTCTAAACATCATTGCGTGTGGTACCTTGTCTGGCGCCTGGAGAAAATCCGGAATCCGGCAATCGGACAGATGAAAAACAATATTCAGCCGCTGCAAGTTTGGGTAGCGACCTCTGGCAACTTGATTGCAAAAATGACGAATATCCCCCCAGGCTCGACTTTTAGGTCCCACCAAAACCAGCAATCTTTGAAGGGATGGAGAAATAATGTCTGTGAGGCAGGTTTGGGGGCCATCTTCAACCTGTGACGGAGTTCGCCAGTGGTGGCAAAACGAATGCTCATCAATATGCAGCTCCTCTAGAGCAGGAAAAGACGCCAGATTTGGGGACGCGTACCAAGCGTTTGTGGTGATTTGCCCCACGGAAGCGGCTTGATCGGAATCGTTGCCATTAATATAGTAGAATATGTCATGTGGATCCAAGTAGTTTAGCTCAAGGTATTTCAAGGAATTCTTTTGCGTCTCGAGCATATCCACCAGATCGCCAGGCGACACGAGCCGTGTGGCCCGAACTGCGGAGAAGAGGCAGTAACATACCCATAGCTGCATCGTGAATCTTTCCAACGCCGCACAGTGTTCAATGAGTGGCCTCAAAAAGAGCTCTTGATCCTCATTGCCAAGAAAAACCGAGTTGCAAAACCGAATGTTTCGGAGGTGCGTGGGCAATGGCTGACGTAGCCAGCTCGTCGCTCTTTCGTCCATGGGCACGTCAAACACGCCCATGCCGTACAGCTCCAGGGTATGCAGTTTCGGTGCCGTCTGGAGAAGAAAACGACAGTCAAGTCTTCTCTCTTCATGCCCGTAATCGCGCCAGCATGCGCGACAAGGGGACGGGACGCCTGATATAAGTACTGAGCGTAACTCGGGGAAAATACATCTCATGCCACGCTGACCTTGTCGATTGGCAAGATATTTGAAAAGCCCACTTGTCCACATGCCTCTTAGAGACAAGTTCTTTATTTTGTCCGTCACTGCTAGCAATACCTGCATGCCCAGGATGAGATTGCTGTCATCGAGGTACGCGTATGGAAGCAGGAAATAGTCCGGCGCTGGGCGAGACACAATCATACCTAGGGTTCGCGCCGTTTGCATCAGTGATACATCTCTCGCAACCCAGGGATCATCTAGCAGGTCCCAACGGATCGATTCAACATGTTTTGCCAGTTGTGGGTTCTCGGAAAATAAGCCGGTGAGGAACTTGACCCAACGATCCCCGCTGAGAGACAGCTGATGCCACATGAGCGGCACAGTAATAGCCCGCCAAGATTTGCAGACGAGAGAACAGTTATGCAGGGCCAGCGTGGTTTCCGGGCATTTCGGTTCTTGGGTGCAGTGGTAGCACAACTGGGATAAAATCTGCATCTGAATTTCGGTCGGGAAACGTAGAAAACTCTGCAATCCAGTTAGTACATGTGGTGTCAACGGACCAGACGCTCAATGACCAATACAGACCATTTGTTGGCCAGCAGCAATACCCGAGTCTTCATCCATTTTCCGATCTGCGCTCATCTTGCAATTGTGCTCGAGTATTTTGCTCCTTTACGAATCTTCTCTGATATTTGTCGATTGGCTTGATCACAGCGCGTAGTCTATACTTTCACGACAGGCAGTAAGCATGGAGACAGAGCGAGGGGGAACCAGTTACTTTTAAAGTGCCAGACACCTCCCGGAGGCTGAGGATAAGCTTTAGCTGGATGGTTATTGTCCGAACCTAAAATTTAAAACCTCAGGCGAACAAAGCCAGGGCTAAAGCTAAGAGAGCATTAACAGGGAAAGGCAAGCATAAAGAGCTGCTCAAAAGGCAAGCTAGGTGTTAGTGATTGTCACTTCAATGTAAATCTAGTAGTCTAGTCCGGGCAGCCAGCCAGAGCTAGTATATGTGGCTGCTATTAGCACTTTTTAGCATCTAAATTAGATGATACCGGTATAACCTTACTAGTATCTAGCTGACGCCGTCCGACAGCTTGACCTGGACCGCCGCATCTCCCGTGTCGTGGAACTCGTCTACCGACAGACCAAATTGTGATATAGCGGTGGCGTTGGTATTCTCGTACAGGATTCTACACAGGTCACCGCGCATGATTTCATATTCACTCCTGAACCCTTTTGCTGCCGGGCTCGTTTCGGGGAAAGAAGATGACGGGCTTGCTCATGTAGTTGACAATCTTGACTCCGTCGTCGTGGACTAGGTGTTTGCGAATGTCGTCGAATGATGCCCATGTGCTTGATTAGGTCGATGCCTTGTCAGCGAATGTCAATCTGTTGGCCGCCGACGCGGAGGGTGTCCCATCGCTCGAGGATGGTGCACGCGTGGCCGAGACGATGTAGCCAAAATACAAGTGCTGGGCCGGCAATGCCCGCTCCCACGATGAGAACTCGAAGTGGTGTATCGGGTATTTGCGATCAACGACGTAGCTGATCAACTCCAATCCGCCATTTACATGGCATCTCTACAGAGTCTCGTGTGCCGATTCTGCAAGTATGTCGCAGCTATGTGGGCAACCTTGTATAGCTGATGTCCAGCAAAGAACAATGTCCGAAATATGCAGCTCGTCGCTCATTCAAAAACCCTGAGAGAGCGAATACAGCGAATACAACATCAAACGGCCGTATCCCCACCGATGCGCAGATTTCCATGCCAGAGCTGTCTTTCGAGACCTCCGGAAGTCAAGAACTGGTCCAGTTATGGTTGAAGCATTCATATTTCTTGTACGCGGTCAACATGGTACACGGTACGTTGGGCAGGTTGAAATACACTCAGTTACTCACGCATCAGGTGAGCCAACGGCATTTTCGACGCTTTGAGGATAGGGATCGAGCCATCAATTTGTGTAGCCCTCTTTGGGTTCCTTTGACATTTCCTTTAACGTGTTGGATGTGGCGGTAGCCGCCATATTGAATGACGCTCGACTTCTCATCACAGTCGTGCGGTCGCTTCACACATTCCAAGGATACCTGGCCAAATCCACTGACATGGTCTTTCATAAGTCTCAAAATGCGCGCATCACAAACACGACAACGCCACGATGAGCGAAGATGAAGCGCGTGGCTGTGCGCAGGCGGGGCTTGCAACGCTGATCCGATCATCAGGCAACAGTCAGCCCTCGTGTAAGAATCGACAGACTCCCCTCGAACAAGTACTCGTCTTGCTAACATAAATTGGGTTCCAAGCAGACGCTGCCACAAATATCCGCAACGTGAACAAACCAACTCCCCCCCTGCGTCATCATGCCAGCCAACGCTCCGCCAATCATCCCATACATCCATCTCTTGTGCATGGAGGACTCATGTAGCGAAGCGTTCACAAAGGTCGCCAAGTCGTATCAACTACCTGCATCAGTCCAATTCGAGCTTCATCGCGCCGCCCTCCAGTTCGTCCCAGATACGGCCAAGTTCGACCTGGTCGTGTCCCCAGCCAACTCGTACGGACGCCTAGACGGCGGGTTCGACGATGCTATTTCCCGCGCATTCTCCCCGCGAGGCGATTACCTCGCCCTCACCCACGTCGCTCAGGCAAAGCTATACGATGAGTGGTGTGGCTTCGCGCCCCCCGGGAGCTGTACCTTGGTCCGCATCCCCGACGAGTTTCGAGACAGGTCCAAGAATGTCTGGGGTACGAGGTACATCGCCCTGTGCCCGACCATGAGGACGCCGCAGGAGGTAGAGTGGGACAGGGAGGTTGTGTACGAGAGCATCTGGAGCCTCTTGGTGGCTATCGACAAGCACAATCGGGCACGTCCCGAGGATAGGATTTCTAGCATCCTGATGACGCCGCTAGCGACGGGAACGGGTCGCGTGAGCCCTGAGAGATGGGCGCATCAGATGTTCTTGGCCATGAAGCACTTTGTTGATGCGAAGCGGCATCCGGACAAATGGAGCAAGCTGGAGAATGTCGAGATTTTTGAGTATGCCAACGAAGTCGCGGAAACTTGGACCATGTGATGATGAAGGCAGGAAGAGGAACTAGACAAAATGTGTGGAATGTTGAGGCTCTCACGTGATCACGAGAAGGCAAACAGCCTCGTGTGCGGATGAAAACCTATCCGCACTTTCTTTTTTCTCCGGCCTTTTTGTTAGACCTCACAAGATTATCAGGACAGAGCATGATTTTGCCATCCTTGCCTTTACGTCTAGCCTTTCCATATAGAAAACCGATTGTCTGGGTCACGATTGATATCTGCGTGCAGTTCAAGGCGATGGCTTCTTCAGCCCTTGAAAAAGTCCTAGGAGAGTTTTGCATAAGTATAGTTGCATAACTTTTTATGATTTATAACTGAATTTATAATGAAAGGAAATTCTCCTTGGAATACGGAGTACCTGCAGCATCACCCGATGCAAGCGCTCTGATTGGTTACCGTTACCTGGTGGGGCCGAAACGGTATAGCGAGGCCAGCTTAGTCAGCCTGGCTCAACACCATAGGGCGGAGACCACGATGCAAGTTAGCTAGAAAAAAATCATCTATGAGTAACATCCTTTTAAACACAATAACTATCTCATGCGTAAGTCGGTAGGAGTAAGGCCAAGAATACCCTCAAGCTGAGACTATTCTATAACTCCTCTTCTTTGTTCCAATTGAGTCTCTAAACAGCAAAAAATGCGTTATTGCCATATTCTTGATCGTAAGTACGGCTCTAAATGGTATCCCCCAAAACACCCTATCCTAGAGACGCCTTGTTAATTGAGAATCCACTGGTTATCACTTCCAGTGCGTGTGGAACGTCCATATCAGTGTACTCCGTATGCAGTCATCATGCAAACTTACACATGCATGCCTGAGGCGTAATTTCGGTAAAAACAATGGACAATTATGCTGATGTAGTCATTTCGGTTGTCTGTTGAGGATGGATGCCCAAGTGCGCATTCCTCTGCCCGGGAAAAATTTCTCACCAATACGATCATTAGTACTTCACACCCTCTCCTTGGTTTTCATGAGACTTTTCGTTTTGATAACTGAGGTTCTATATGCGGTAAAGGGATAGCCCCCACCCTTATATGTAGTGTTATGTAAATGGTGTAACGGGCCAAGCCGCTTGAACGGCGGCCGTGTCTCCCGTCATCAATTCATCAGAATGGCAAGTTCATTATAGAATCTTTTTGGCGGATTATTGGAAATATACAAGACATTGTTATAAGCTTTGTTTTCGTCTTTTAGGGACTAGTTAGGTGAATCAACTCGCCAGAGACCTTTCACAAATAGCGCAAGTGTAGGAGTCAGGCTGTTGTAGTATTGCCAGAGAATCCCGCATGAGGGTTGGCGTCCCAAGTTTCTAAATACCGCAATATTGCCCGTTAAAAATAACATGGTCTTGCAGCAGTAGAGCATATATGTATGAGCTGCTCGTCTAGGCATGTATACATCGGCCACACATTAATGGAGGTGTCCTCGAGTAGGAGTTGGGCAGCAATCGTCGTTTTGGTGTCGAACAAACAGTCTTGATTGGAGAATTATCTTGGTCTTGAGCCGTTCCTATCCGCTTGGTTGTGTTAAGGCTCCGGTGAGGTCACGAGCCCCAGAGCACCCCTGCAGGCAGCGGGTGACCTCGAGCGATTTTATAAAAACATGAATTTTAGCATATTATAATGCAGCGGCTTGTAGTTAGCCTTTTTAGAAGTACTTGTAATATCACGAAATTCACTAGTAAGTACATGTATCTTTTAGACTCTGGCTTCTTACTGGATATACATCCCTACAGATACCTAGGTACTTGGTTGGAGCCTTAACACAACCAAGGGGATCATAGATCATACCCTGCGTCGTCTTGTGTGTGTGTGTGTGTGTGTCGCGTGAGATGTCAGGTCGTAGTACACGCCCCCCAACAGTTGATGGACAACGAATGGGGGTCGGGGTCGGGCACAGGAAATCTTGTTCTAGTCCCTGTTACTCCTTACTCAACATGTCATTGACGGAATGGCTTTTGGGGCTTAGCCTGCGGCTTCCATGAATGGCTATCGCAATCAGGCCCAACGGTACGCGGCTTGTGTGACAGTAGCCCAACTTGGCGGCAACTATTGCTTGCTCAAGCTTATATTGACTTTTTCCGCAGTCATGTTCACCACTCAACACTCAACACGGCTTGTGTCGAGTGGTCCGTGTGGTGTTCTATACACGATATAATGGCTCTTGCGATTCGTCAACTGGACAAATACCAATATACTGTGGGATGGATTGCTGCACTGCCGCATGAAAGGGCTGCTGCTAAGGCAATGCTCGACGAAACGCATGCCTCACTACAGGAGAAGCACGGAAAAGACGACAATTCATACGACTTGGGGTCTATTTCTTGCAAAAGTGGCCCACATCATGTGGTTATTACCAGCCTCCCATCAGGCCAATATGGGAACACTGCGGCCACGACAGCCGCGGCTCAAATGCTCTCCAGCTTTCCAGCCATCAAATTTGGACTCATGGTTGGTATCGGTGGTGGCATCTGGAGCGAAAACAATGACATCCGGCTTGGGGACGTCGTGGTTAGTAACCCGGAAGGCAGCTTTGGGGGTGTGAAGCAATACAACTCTGGAAAAGCTACTGTTGATGGTTTTCAATGTTCTGGATGGCTCAAGCCGCCACCTCGAATCCTACTCAACGCTGTGCACAAACTCCGAAGCAATCATTTCCTGCAAGAGAGCACGATACCCGACAAACTGCGAAAAATGTACACGGAGTACCCAGGAATGTCAAAGCCGCGAACAGGGCAAGGTTTCGTCCATCCAGGCACCAGCAAGGACCGGCTATTTTGCTCCGAATACCGTCATCAAAAAGGGGACAAAAATTGCGATGCGTGTGACAAGACGATGGAAATAGCACGCAAAGAGCGTCCAGACTGTGATCCATTTATTCACTACGGCACCATCGCCTCAGGGAACATGGTCATCAAGGACCCACAAACTCGAGATCTTCTGGCACAGGATTGTCTCTGTTTCGAAACAGAAGCTGCTGGGTTGATGAACGACTTCCCTTGTCTCGTTATTCGTGGCATCTGTGACTATTGCGACTCACACAAGAACGACGAGTGGCAGAACTATGCAGCAGCTACGGCAGCCGCGTATGCCAAGGAGCTTCTTCAAGTCATAGACCCGGCAAATGTGAATGAAGCACCAAGAGCAAGGGATGGTATGCGTCATATCTACACAAAGTTGTCCCAGTTTCATATTGTACACGAGATGAGTTAAGGGTACTTTTAGAAACATTCTAACATGCAGGACACAATGTAGTCTCAAGAGTATTTGAACAAGTAACGCGCGTACAAGAGCAGGTAATAGAAGGGTTCCAATATTCCCGACAAGGTATGATCTATTCACATCTATCAGAAAAAGAACGCGCTTTATTACTGAGCAATTATACCCCCTTGCCTATTCCATTAACATCACAATCCAATGTTAATATAACAACCTGACCTAAACTTTTGCAGGACAGGAGAGAAAGGACCGGGATGATATTCTCGAATGGATCACCCGCATTGACTACAGTCACCAATATAGCGACATCCTCAAGAGAAGATGGGAGGGTACAGGGCAATGGCTGCTAGACTCAACCGAGTTTGAAAATTGGCTAGAAAGAAAAGGACAGACACTATTCTGTTCCGGAATTCCCGGGGCAGGCAAGACTGTCCTATCTGCTATTGTGGTTGATCATCTATGCCGAAAGTTTGGAAATGATTCAAGCATCGGCATCGCGTGGTTGTTCTGTGAATATCATCGACATAACGAACAAACGTTAGAGCACCTCCTTTCAAGTCTTTTAAAGCAGCTACTAAAGCAACAAACTACATTACCAAACTGTGTTACGGAGCTCTACGAGTCGCATCAAAGGCGGACAACGCGGCCCTCGATCGATGACATTGTGAAGTTACTACAGTCTTCCACGGCCACTCTTTCCAGAATTTTTGTTATTGTTGACGCTCTCGACGAATGCCAAACTACAGAGGGATGCCAAATGGACTTCATATCTAAATTATTCACCTTCAAGGACGGAGTCAAGGCGAACATATTTGCAACGTCTCGGCATATTGACAGGATACAGAGCAAGTTCAGTAGATGCATCTCGCTAGAGATAAAAGCGACTGATGAGGATATAAGAATGTATTTGAAAGGACAGAGGAGACGATTTTCGCCGGATATGGTGAGCGACGAACTCCAGGCTCGGATTGAATCAAAAGTGATCGAAGCCTCCGCAGACATGTACGTCACCTTGCACGATTCAGCCCGGCTAAATTATAACTTGTTAAGTGGCCTACAGGTTTCTGCTAGCGGCCTTTCACATGAATAGGCTGGTGGAATTGAAAACAAGGCAGGACATAATCAACTTTCTAGAAAGTATTCAAGAGAGCGGCCTCGACGCTGCTTACAAAAAGACGATGGAGACGATTGAAAATCAGGATCAGAACAGCGTGAGCCTTGCAAAACGGATCTTGGCCTGGACCATTTACGCCAAAAGGGCATTTTCGGTCGAGGAGCTTCGGCATGTGCTCGCAGTAAGGGCAGGCACCAAACAGTTCAATCCGGACTATATGCCATGCGCCACTGACCTCTTGTCTGTCTGCGCCGGCTTAGTTACAGATAATAACGAAAGTGGCGTCATTCATTTGATCCATTACACAACGCTTGAGTTTTTCCGGCAGACAAGGCGAGATTGGCTGCGAGATATGCAGGCTGATCTTGCGGAAACATGTCTTACCTATCTGTTGTATGACTGCTTCCGAGTCGGCACCTGCAAGGCAAATCAAGCTTTCGAGGCCAAGTTCGATTTCTATACATATGCCGCAGGAAACTGGGCTGGCCATGCTGGCATTAGCAGGCCCTCGAACGCAGGTTTGGCAAGGAAAGAAAAGGTTCAACCCCTCCTTGATAAATTCCTGGCAACTGATCCCTTACCGCCCAGTTTTCTCTATTGGTTGTTCCGATTCAAAAAAGGCATCATGTCCAGGATCCCTAGCTCAGTGCCAATATCTGATATACCGAAAATCCTAAACCTGATCTTCTCTCCAATCTGTTGGGTAACCGAAATGACCGGGAGCCCATCCAATAGGGACCCGTTGGAGATGATGGACTATTATGGGGGGGTTACCTTCGCGCTTTTGGAGGCTTTCATTTCAGCATCGCTTGAAAAAGCCAGGTTATTGTTGGCGCCTTGCCCACATCCCGAACATTGGCACAATCTCTCCAGCCTAGCATATGAAGACCACCCTCCTCGAGACCTGGACGACAGGGCCCTCGGTTGCAGGAAGACCTTTACCTCTGAGGCCGCCAAGAGCTTGAGAGGTTGGGAGTCCACACTTTCCGCGCTGCTTCGTCGAAAGCCGTGTAAGAACGGGCTAATTCGATATCTTTTCCCAAACCAAGATCGATATCTTCTCCCAAACCAAGATCGATATATAATCTCCGGGATAGACCTGCAGTACAAAATCTGTGGCGTTGCTCAATGGTTGCCGTTTTTCGAGATTCATGACGCGCCCCGAAGATGTCTCGAAGAGATTGCGAATCTGACAGTCATTGTTCTCCTGAGAACCAAACCTTACTTTGTAGAGTGGACAAAAGAAAAGGAGAAATTATTCCGGCGCTTACTATTGAAACCGGTACATAAATACCAAGAGTACCAGTATATTCCAATGGATTTTCCAGACCAGGACTCCGTGCTCTTAGATTTCATACGTCTTGGGAAAGATGCTCTTGATTTCTTGGTTCGCAGCGGTGTGGATGTAAACAAAACGTTTGCGCAGCATCCATTAGGGACAGCATTGGCAGCTGCAGTTGTTCACGATCTCAAGAGCGAGGCACCGTGTGTAAAATACCTCCTAGACCATGGTGCAGATTCCAATCAGCGAACGAATGGGAGGGAATACGGCTCTGCTTTAGTTGCAGCATGCGCACTCGGGAGGATGGATGCTCTTAATCTTCTATTACAACAGCCGAATTTGGACATCAATATGGCGACACAATTCGGCTGCTATGGAACGGCCCTTATTGCAGCATGTGCAAACGGTAGAACAGATGCTCTACATCTTCTATTACAACAGCCGAATTTGGACATCAATATGGCGACACAATTCGGCTGCTATGGAACGGCCCTTATTGCAGCTTGTTCAAATACTACAATGATTTTAGAGGAAGGCGAGGCTATGGCAACAAATGTCAAATACCTCCTTAAGGAAGGCGCGCATGTCAATCATTCAACAACTGGAGAGGCTGGTGCCAAATACCTCACAGCCCTTGCCGCTGCTGTAGATATTGGGATCCCACGGATGGTACAGATCCTTCTAAATTCTGGCGCAATAGCCGACGAGAGGCTCAAAAATGATATGCCTAGTGACTCGTGGACGGCACGCCGTCGATGGGGTTGTTTACAATCCCATGTGTCCCACCCAAACACAGAACTCGAACGCACGGACAAAGAATGGATTGATCAATGCACTTTAGCAGCGCGGCAACTAAGTATGGCAATAATTTACCTTCAGTTAGAAGTGGACGCATCATGGGCAGACGAGTATATACCCCAAGCTCTCTATTATCTTCGGGTTTTCAGCAGCGTATACGTGGGCGAATTTGCAGCGGCCGAAATAACACTGCAACAATTCGGATTTGGCGGAAAAGATCCTGACGGAAGAATGCTATTAAGCCTTCAAACTGAGCTAAGCGAGAGCTTTAAAAAATGGGACCAGGTGGTAGCCTGTTTAAAAGAGCTGACATTGGAGTTTGATGAAGGCAAAATACCTTCACGGCAGATCGATGACCTTGACCCTGATTTTGATATGCTACCATATTCGGATTATTCAGACGAGATATCTTCAGCTCCTGAGGAATGGTGAATGCCACCTCCACGACGGACCGGGACCGATAACTTTGACTCTGATATCGATATGCTATCCCTTTAACTGCGTTAAGACGTCAGCGAAGTCTCTTACGGGAATGATGCCCCATAAGAACTAAGAGTTATTTAAGTATATACATGTACACTCATTTTTTTGCAATGAGAAAAGTATTATTAATTATTCTTAATACATGACATGGTACCTTTTGACCCTAAATAGGTAAAGACTCAGGAGACCCGATAAGGGTAGTACTCTGGAGTAAATACGAAGGCGGCACCTTAACACAGTCAAAGGATCATAGCCTAGACGAGGGGTATACAGTAGTTTATGGTCTATCCTGAAGACGTACAAGACAGGGATGATTATACACAGCATAGACAGCTTCTCCGAATGCTTGCCAAAGAGTGATCACGACACGCGACGACTTAGTCGGCTTAGTCATTGTCGTCGCTTATCGCGGCGTGGCATGGGTTAGGGGTAAGCTGTCGCCCCAACAGAATGCAGCAGCAAGAATGGAAGCAGGAGCTTCGGGGCAGGGTCGAACAGCGAGCGTTGCCCCTTCCTCGCCGCAATTCGACGGGTCTCCGAGAATAGCGCCGGTGGAGCCACTCGCCCAGCCAGCTGGCAGCCAATGTGGAAAGAGAGTGCCAGGGGAGCTCCACGCTGGCAGGCGGGCGGCGACGGCCCCAATGGAAAAAAAAGCAGAAGCTCTGGTCCGCCGCGTCCTGCGAAGTCGCTCCAACCAGGAAGCTCGTTTCGCCGTGCTCCGGAAAGGAAATTCCCTCGAGGCCATCTGTTGAAGCCATCGTCATCTACATCCTCCACCACCGCTAGTCCTTCTGTTGAACCAGCCCCGTGCTGCTCTTATTTGTCTCTTGCTCTTGTCTGCCCCTGCTTGTCCAATTCCAATTGTGACGACTAGCATTGGCGGCTCAGAGTCAAAGCAGCTCTTGTGTGTTGCATTTGGATTTATCTCCTCCAGCCTCAACCCTCAACAAATATCCACATACGACGCAGACACCATGTCCCGTATTCTCCGACCGGCCGCCCGCCTGGCGCTCTCATCACGAGCTGCTGCCATCAAGACTCCCGCCGCTGCCGCCTTCACCGCTGCCGCCTTCCCCCAGCCCCCCCGAGCCGTAACCACTCCTGTCTTCTTCGGCGCTCAACAGAGCAGGAAATATGCGGAGGGAGCCGGCGTCAAGGAATATACTGTCCGCGAGGCTCTGAACGAGGCCCTCGCTGAGGAACTGGAGTCCAACCCCAAGGTCTTCATCCTGGGTGAGGAAGTTGCGCAGTACAATGGTGCCTACAAGGTCACCAAGGGTCTTTTGGATCGTTTCGGCGACAAACGTGTCATCGACACCCCCATCACCGAGTCCGGTTTCTGCGGACTCGCCATTGGTGCTGCTCTAAGCGGCCTGCACCCTGTTGTAAGTAACCTGCTGTTGTTCTTCATTGGTCTTTGACCCAGTTTGCTGTGCGCAGCTGCAGCGCGGATCGATTTTACACTATGAAACGTTGGCGTTGCTAGTGTTGATACTTGAGCTAATTCCGAATCGTGACAGTGCGAGTTCATGACCTTCAACTTCGCCATGCAGGCCATCGATCAGATCGTCAACTCTGCCGGAAAGACCCTTTACATGTCCGGCGGTATCCAGCCGTGCAACATCACCTTCCGTGGTCCCAATGGCTTTGCCGCTGGTGTTGCCGCTCAGCACTCCCAGGACTACTCCGCCTGGTATGGCAGCGTCCCTGGCCTCAAGGTTGTCTCCCCCTGGAGCGCCGAGGATGCCAAGGGTCTTCTCAAGGCTGCTATCCGCGATCCCAACCCCGTCGTCGTCCTCGAAAACGAACTCATGTACGGCCAGTCCTTCCCCATGTCCGAGGCCGCCCAGAAAGATGATTTCGTGCTGCCCTTCGGTAAGGCCAAGGTAGAGCGTGCCGGAAAGGATCTCACCATCGTCTCTCTCTCCCGATGTGTTGGTCAGTCTCTGGTCGCCGCCGAGAACCTGAAAAAGAATTATGGCATCGAGGCTGAGGTCATCAACCTGCGTTCCGTCAAACCTCTCGACATTGAAACCATTGTCAAGTCCGTCAAGAAGACCCACCGTCTTCTCTCCGTTGAGTCCGGCTTCCCCCACTACGGTGTTGGCGCCGAGATTCTTGCCCTGACCATGGAGTACGCTTTCGACTACCTTGATGCTCCTGCTCAGCGAGTCACTGGCGCCGACGTGCCCACTCCTTACGCCCAGAAGCTCGAGGAAATGAGCTTCCCTACTGAGAAGGTCATCGAGGATTACGCCGCCAAGCTGTTGCGAGTCTAAGAGGCTGGCTTACACAACTTTGGAAATGCATCAAGGTTGAGAAAACTGACGCGCGAGAGGCGAAGGGGCTTCTGAAGCAGCAGTGGCGTGAGGCTGAGCTGCAGCTTTGGAGCGGAACAGCAGCATTATCATAATTACGTGCTGCAGAAGAGCGCGGACAGGAATTATAGCGCGCTTTAAAAATATCTTTATTTTATAGACGGACTTGGGGAAGGGGACCTGTACTTGTAATCTGTTTCGTCATGTATACACCCTCTGCCTTGCATTCGTCTTTGCTCATCGCTGGTGAAATCGAACTGCAAATATTGTGACTAGTCCGCTCGGTGATTTTCGAAATTGATTGCCTACTGTGAGCCTGGAGATAAACTACCAGAGCTGATTGCTGCTGTGAATTTGTCTCGTGTTCCGTTTGTGTTGATTGTTGATCCGCCCCCGGCCATTGCAGAAAGGAGCTTGGGCTACAATGGGAGGCAAAAAGTACCTACCCTAAGTGTACCTGCCTAGGTAGGTAGCTACCGCGCTCCATAATATAATATCAATGATACTACCAGAAAGCATATTAGTGTCTGGTATACTTTTCGTTGAGCAAATAGATTCTGCCACTGACTGTACGGAGGAGTGAGCAGAACAAGTCGGTGCGATATCAGCCCCACTTCACCCACAGATGTGGGGCATGCCCAACTGGCAATGACAAGATCGAGTGTAGCCATCTTCACGAGCCAACCTCACCATCATCATAGTCAGCATGGCCGGAATCGATGCCCTCCTGCGCGAGCAGGAGGACGGAACGTCCCTGTCCGGAAACGCACAAGGCCTGGATTCAGAGGCCCTCAAGCGTCACCTGGAAGACAAATTTCTGACACCTTCACGCGAGTTCTCAAGCGAATGGCTCAATCTTTTGCAGCAACGATGGGATTTTGAAACTGAGTACACCTCCCTATTTAAACTGGCACCCACTCAGACTCGTACTGTGACGAGGTTTCAACGCCACGGGCTGGAGGGTAGAGTCACTGGCTACAAGAACGTCACACTACCTTCAAATAGTGCCACGGCCAAGAACTCAACTAGCTTGCTTCGAAAACCGGCCAACCGAGCCGACTTTGTCCGTGGAGCTGCCGGGTTCTTTCCTTTTGCTCCCGGTGGGCTTGAAGGTATTGAAGCTACAGCCGCGCTCGAGGATCAGGTTCACGCAGGGGGCATTGAAGAAGCCGCGAAAGCCAATAAGCTTGACAGGGTTATCCAACTAGGCGAAGGGGGGTTACTACAGATAGCCCCAGGTCTGGATCGAGGTATCGATTTCAGCAAGAAGAAGAATGCTCCCGATGAAGAGGCGGCCAGCGCTGTTCAGGAGGCTTTGGAAGAGGAGCCCGAAAACGCTGGGTCGGTGGAGGAGACAGAAGGGGATTCCCCGGATGAGACGCCGGCAGATGCATCCGATGCAGGGGAAGATGAAGACGATATCGATGATATCCTTCCTATCGAATTCCCGGCTCTGGAGCCTCATGGTGTGCTGGCAGCATCGAGTGCCCGTAAGGCTGGCCGTGAATGGGCACACATGGTAGATATCCGACAAGGGATGCCGAACTTTCGAGAATTGGTACCTGACATGGCTAGAGAGTGGCCATTCGAGCTGGATACTTTTCAGAAGGAGGCTGTTTACCATCTTGAAAACGGCGATTCTGTCTTCGTCGCTGCCCATACATCAGCAGGCAAAACAGTTGTCGCTGAGTATGCCATTGCTTTGGCCGCGAAGCACATGACGAAAGCCATCTACACATCACCCATCAAGGCATTGAGTAACCAAAAGTTTCGAGATTTTCGACAGACGTTCGATGAGGTCGGTATTCTCACCGGCGACGTGCAGATTAATCCCGAGGCTAGCTGCCTGATTATGACGACGGAGATTCTGCGAAGCATGCTTTACCGCGGAGCCGACTTGATTCGCGACGTTGAGTTTGTAATTTTCGACGAAGTTCACTATGTGAATGATTTTGAGCGAGGGGTGGTTTGGGAAGAGGTCATTATTATGCTACCCGAGCATGTTACGCTTATTCTGTTGTCGGCCACTGTCCCGAATACGTATGAATTTGCGTCATGGGTTGGCCGCACAAAGCAAAAGGACATTTATGTCATTTCGACTTCCAAACGCCCTGTTCCTCTCGAGCATTATATCTGGGCGGGCAAGGACGTCCACAAAATCGTCGACTCGGACAAGAAGTTTATTGAAAAGGGATGGAAAGATGCACACGGAGCCGTACAGGGCAAGGAGACGCAAAGACCCGCAGAGACTACAGTGGCCATGAGAGGAGGCAACCCCCGAGGCGGACAACGTGGTGGCCAACAGCGTGGAGGACCTCAACAACGCGGTGGACGAGGAGGTGGCCAACAACGAGGCGGAAATCAGCAAAGAGGCCGCGGAGGGCCACCTCGTGCCAGCCATGCCCCTGGCCACATGGGCCGTGGAGGTCGTGCTGGTGGCATGACTTCTGCTGCGCAAGACAAAAATCTTTGGGTACACCTCGTTCAGTTCTTGCGAAAGAAGTCTCTCCTGCCAGCTTGTATCTTTGTCTTTTCCAAGAAGAGATGTGAGCAAAATGCGGATGCTTTGAGCAATCAAGACTTCTGCACCGCCCAGGAGAAGAGCCACATTCACATGGTTATCGAAAAGTCTATTGCACGATTAAAACCCGAAGACAGACAGTTACCCCAGATTATTAGGTTGAGAGAACTGCTGAGCAGGGGCATAGCGGTGCATCACGGCGGATTACTACCAATCGTCAAGGAATTGGTGGAGATACTGTTCGCCCAGACCCTGGTGAAGGTGCTCTTTGCTACCGAGACATTTGCCATGGGTCTGAACCTGCCCACCAGAACTGTCGTCTTCTCGGGCTACAGAAAGCATGATGGACACTCATTCCGCAATCTGCTCCCTGGTGAGTATACTCAAATGGCTGGTCGAGCCGGTCGCCGTGGTCTGGACACGGTTGGATCAGTCATCATTGTTCCACCAGGGAGTGCTGACGACGTACCGCCTGCCGCTGAGCTCCGGAACATGATACTGGGAGAGCCGTCTAAGTTACGGTCTCAGTTCCGTCTTACCTACAACATGATCCTGAACTTGCTCCGGGTCGAAGCGTTAAAGATTGAGGAGATGATTAAGCGCAGCTTCTCAGAGCACGCCACTCAGGCACTGCTTCCTGAGCACGAAAAGGATGTCAAGCTCGCACAAGCTGATCTGGCCAAGGTCAAGAGAGAGTCCTGCAAGATTTGTGACACCGCTATGGACGAATGTCACCAGGCTGCCCAAGACTTTAAGCAGCTTACTCTTGAACTGTATAAAGGTCTCCTCCGAATCACATTTGGGCGTAGAATGTTTAGTCAACAGCGTCTCATTGTATTTAACTGGGAGGGTGTTCGGACAGTTGGCATCTTGCTGTCAGAAGGCATGAGTCCGAAGGGCACCCTGGATGACCCTATCCTTCATGTCTGCGCTATCAAACCACTGAGGGAAAGACGAGATGCGACCGACCAATTACCCTTCATCCCTGCTTTCCGCAGATACCTGCACAAACTGCCTCAGGGCAAGAGGCGCTTGCAGATTAAGACTCTGCACGTGCCACTGAGCGATGTGGAGTGTTTGACCAAATGGGTTCTCAAGGGCACAATTCCAGAAATCTTCAAGGGTGGTGAAGCTGGTCAACAAGCCATGGAGAAACTACAGGATATTTGTTCCGGTTGGGACGCCCGATGGGATGAAGTGGATATGGGCAAGATCAAAAGCATGCAGTTGCAGGAGATTGTCGAGAAGAGAGTGCAGTTGGTTAAGGCGATTTCCATATCCCCGGTCATAAAATGCCAGGCGTTCCTGAAACACGTGAGCATATTCCGTTTTATTGAAGAGCAAAAGACCCTCTGACTAACGATTTGCAGTTCGCCATGTGCCATGATGAATGGCTCATCAAAGAGCACATCTCCCAGCTCAAGCAGTCCCTCTCGGACCAAAATCTCCAACTCCTGCCCGATTACGAGCAGCGTGTCCAAGTTCTCAAAGAGCTCGACTTCATCGACGATGCCACGCGAATCCAGCTTAAAGGCAAAGTAGCATGCGAAGTCCACTCGGGCGACGAACTCGTCCTCACGGAACTCATCCTCGACAACGTCCTCGCCGATTTCGAGCCCGCTGAAATCGCCGCCCTCTTATCCTCCTTTGTGTTCCAGGAGAAGACTACAGTCGAACCCACATTGACAGGCAACTTGGAACGCGGACGGGACACCATTATTGCGATTTCCGAAAAGGTCAACGACGTACAGACCAGGTTGCAGGTGATTCAGTCAGCAGACGACTCGAATGACTTTGTGTCACGACCAAGATTCGGCCTCATGGAAGTGGTGTACGAGTGGGCAAGGGGGATGAGTTTCAAGAACATTACAGGCCTGACGGATATACTTGAGGGCACTATAGTGCGCACGATTACGAGATTGGACGAGACATGTAGGGAGGTGAAGAATGCGGCGAGGATAGTGGGTGACCCTGAGTTGTATCAAAAGATGCAAGAGGCGCAGGAGCTGATCAAGAGAGATATCACCGCCGTGGCGAGCTTGTACATGTAGTTGGGACCGGATATCCAAGACGTGGCGCACGGCCTGCCGCGGTTTCGATATGGTTATGGGATTAGCAGGGGATCCCATCCCAACCCAGCTTGTTGCGCAATGGAAATAAGGAAATAGACGTGGCAACGCACGCTATGCACAGCAATAGAGTTGTAAAAGGTGAAATTCACATCCATTCTAATGTAAACACAGGCCCCTGAAACGCCTAGCAATGACTTTATCCCACGAAAGAATGTGATGCGATGAAAAAGAATACACGGATAAAATAACATGTTCCATCCCAAAACACCCAAGAACACCCACCCAGTCGATCCCTTCGCATGAAAAAAAAAAAAAACACAAAAAAGTGAAACAAAAACCTTTGGCATTAGGCCCGCAAAGCCCTCAGTCTCTGCTGCAGTTTATCCTCGTCCTCGGGCGTGACCTCGGTCGCCGGCTCAGCTTCGGCGGGCGTCGCCTCATTCAGCTGCTGGTTGAGCTCGATGCCCGCATCGTCAGCCAGCTTGCCGAGGAGTTCGTGGACCGCGTCCTCGGGCACCTGCGCCGAGGTGGACTGCGCAAAAGCGTCCTGGTAGATGCTGTTCGTCATGGCGTATTCTTCGTTTTGTTCCTTGAAGTTTTCGAGAACGCCGAGGCTCTTTGTACACATTCGTTAGTGTCTTTTTTTTTGTCGTAGGGACCGCCAGGGGAGGGGGCTTTCATTACCTTTGCGGGGGTGGCATTCTTCTGCGCGGCAGTCATCACCTTGGACGACTGGGCCATCATGTGCGTCATGCGGTTCATGGCATTGTTGGCCTGGATCTGGGTGGCGCTCAGCTCCGCCATGTCGGCGACCTGGTCCATTTGCGAGGCGAGCGCCTGCTTGCTGAGGAGCATCTTGGCCTTTTGGTAGGCCTTTTGGGTCTCGCCCTTTTTGAGGAGCTCCTGGATCTGCTTCTTGAGGATGGGGTCTTGCTTGGCGGCTTTTTGGGCCTCGCGCCGCGCTTGCTTGGCTTGGAAGCGCGCTTGGAACTCGACTTGCATGTCGCGGGCGAGTTGGCGGTTCGACATGGTTGCTGTGGAGGCGGGTGTGTTTCTTGTGAGTCTGAGATGAAGACGGATTTTCGGGTTTGAAGTCGAGAGGACGGGTGGTTTGGTGATGGTGGTGTTCGGGGCTGCCTGTCGGATTGGCCGTCATGTGAGTGGCATGAGGACTTGGAGAGTGCGGGGCGCCACGAGGTGACGCAACAATTGGCACCGCCACGGATGTCAAGCCACATTCAAGCCTCATTTGGTGGTTGTCGTGGTACTTCCGTTCTGGCGGTTGATGGGCGTCTGCTGTGTTACCTGACCATCGCGGGGTTTGTGATGAAACGTTGGGGCAGATCGGTTGACAGGAATTGTAGGGATCGATGCCTTGCATTTTAAATCTTTGATGAAAGTGAATTTGACGTCCGTCGTGGCAACTCCATCTTGTCTCTGTTGACTGTGTGACGGATTCATGGGCACTTGTGCCAATGTTAGGGAATTACCATGAACTGATTGTGTTGGATAAAATGTTTGCCGGGATTTCAAGGAAAATAGTCTGGAACCCCTTGCTCCATTCTGATGATATTGAATACACCGGAGTTTAAACTGTTGAATTAGTCACCAAGCCGCCGTAATGAAGCTACCCGGGAGCTTCCTCGATTAGAATCGGTGGATGAAGTTTGGAGGGAGAACCAAACCCGGGCATAACAGCGATCAAGCAAGAAATGGATATAAGGGACTCGCATATTTGAGAGTCTTGCAGCCACCCGGCCACTGCCATAGTAGCAATGATACAGAGCAAGGTGTAGTGGAAATCTCAAATAATTCCGGGTCATGTGCATAATTAATGTGATCACTGATGAACTGGTCAGCAAAACACCCTGGCCCCTGTATAGACTCGATCCATAATTGAAAACTTCAAATAGCTTGTGAAATTACAACGCGGTTCAATATTGAAGTCAAAGCGCATCTGTTGGGGCAAGAGTCTTCTCGTGGCGTGCCCAGTTTCTCAGGGTTGGGGGCGGATTCAAAGCCACCTCACCTCAGCCATGCATGGCCCATGGACACCAAGCTGCGAACCACTCAGAAATGATCGCCAGCCAATCTTCAGCCGTACATCAACACCCAGACTACGCTTTGCACCCCTACCAATGGCCTCCAAACTCACGATGAACGTTCAGAGCTTCCCACGGCCGCCGCGACTGGAGAAAATATCTCGACATCTACTGGTAGTGTACAAGGGGCAAACGATTGCTGAGACCAAAGAGGCGTTTTGGGCTTTGGAGACTCACCATCCGCCAAGTATGTCGCGCTTCTGAGCTCGCCATCGCATCCCCCTTTTCGTTTGCTTTGCTCCCATGATCTTGCTCCCATGATCCCTGTATTTGAGCCGAGTATTCTTGGAAGAGCCATTCCATCTCCCAGATTTTGGGTTTGAAGGCCTTACTTTGAGGTCTACTTCCTGCCAGCCATTGACAAACGTGGAACAGCTTACTATCTCCCACCGTCATCAGTCCGGATTCCTCTGGCTACGACTGCGAAGAAGACATTTTGCGAATGGAAAGGATTTGCAACCTACTACATGGCCCAACTCAGCGATGGTAAAACCGTCTGCAACCGGATATGGTCGTATGACCAACCCGCCTCGCCATTTGAACCCATTCAGGGATATCTATCCTTTTACGCCGAGCCTTGGGAGTGTTTTGTCGACGGCGAGAAAGTCGAGCCGCAACCTGGAGACTTTTATGGCGGATGGGTGACTTCCGAGATTGAAGGCATCGTTAAGGGTCGGTCTGGTAATCTGGACCCGATAGTTTGAAGTCGTACCGAGTAATGACGCCGGTGATTCAGCCAATGGCAAATTTCAGCCGTAAGACATGCCATCTGCGGCCTGTGTACTCCGTATTTTATTAGAAATAGCCGCAAGACGGCTTTCTTGGTTTGAAGAAAATTTCATCTTGTCGAAATGGCAATGGGTCACAGAAGCATGACTGCAACAGCTCGGTGGTCTGCCATCCTGCCAGCCATGAGGGGTCCGAACGCAAGCCTCCCTTCTCCAAGAGAATGATAGATCGAAAACTGCTTTTCTGCAGTATATTCATCGTCAAGAGTTCGATCAAGGGCGCTTTCCAGGCTGTCGCTAGTGGCAGCTAGTGCAACGAACGCCTTGTCTGCCGCGCCGCAAAGTCTGGTTAAATGAAGCGGCTAGGATTTTCCCGACAAAACTATGATACGTAGTTGCACCAAAGCACCCGACGATGAAGCCTCGCTCAGTTTGGACAACTCAGCCGCCTTTTCGCATGGGACTCGGACCCTGTGGCGTATTCTGGAGGGCCAGCATTGACGGAGCCAAAAGGGAGTGTGAAGCGGCGGCAAAGTGAGAAAGTGCGAAATGCGACTTCTCAACGTTCCAGAGTTGCGAATAAGAGCGATTGGCGTGCACCAGGCAGTACGGAGTACATGTAAGGAGTATGTACTTACCCTACCTCGGGTAACCTTTGCAGGTAAGCACGGATGATGCATCGAGTTGCTCCTTCTGTCTCGGTGAGCCAGTGGCTCTTTGGACTCGCACATGACATGGCCCGACTCGCTGTGCTGTCCGACATGTCTCTGCGACGCTGCTCTCCATGTCTCGAACGGTTATGCGACACAAGCACATCGACCAGTCGATATCTCGGCAGGTCGCAGGCGATCTGACCACAAAGATTGGCTCAGGCTGCTTGGCTGTCCTGTCAACTCGTATCGACGTGGAGGCGCTCCCGCACAGGCTCCCGAGCTTCCGCCCCCTCACGACCTGCTCCAGTAGACATTTGACGTCGATTCGCTACGAGTTTGTAATTTCTCCTCCATCACACGCATGCAGCGGTATCTGCCCGGCATGGCAGGAAACCCGACATTCGCTACGGCCCAGAAGCGGTACCAGCGGCACCATCGGAGCACACACGACACGGCCAACCCCTGTGGGATACATGACAATGCAACCACACCCTGCACCACCACTTCAAGGGGGGCAGCACACAGGCAAAAAGACACTGGAATTCACCGTCGGCCTTGAACAGAACGCACTGGACATGTGGCTGCGCTCACGCCAAAGTTGTAGATCCTGAGCCGCGAGACAGGGGTGCCCATGCCGGTAGATGGACCGCCCAGGCGAGCCAACAAGGGCGACATGGCCGGCCCGATGCCCTATCAGTGGAATTGAGCTGGAGCAACTGAGCAGCTTCGGCTAGATTCCGCCATCTCCTTCAATCCACAGTTCAAGACCAAGAGCTTCGTTCGTGGGGGCCGTCACTGTGGATGTGGATGAAGTCATTTGCCATCTGACGACTTTCTGGCCTCTGGCTCCCGCAGTCGGCCTCAAATTGCTGGACCGCTAGCTGTTTGTTTTTAAACTGTCATGGAGTACTCCGTACTCCGTAACACATTAATTATGAGCTCGCCGCTTCATGGCTACCGGTGCCGCCTGTCAGGTGACAGTAACACGAATGAAACCCAGTCCAGCCAGAGAGTGTGTGTTACAATTTTAAACGCCGTGTCCATCGGCCGCAGATAAACTCTCGTCTCCCTACGTTTTAACGTAGCACGACCTGCACGTCTCCGTTTCCTTTTTAGCATTTTTCCCCTTCCAACATTCCCTGATCGCCCTTGTCATTGCCTTATTTTCCTACGTTGAATTCTAGGCGGCCTATCGCCAAGAGCGCCATCTTCTCTCGATGATTTAGCATACATGTTCCGAATATAGTCGAATGAACTCGAGTCCGACTTAGTACGACCTGATCTCGGCGGCGCTAAAAGCGCCTGACTCCCTCTGCGAAGCTTATGAGGTACAATTCCAGCCTTTGGATTCGGAATGGAATTCACAACTTCACTATTAATTGAATCATGGATTCTCTACACACTAGGCGTAGCAATAGTGCTCTGCCGTCTGACGTCGAGGAGAATTAAACTTGGGAAGTGGCGGAATCTGATGATTGATGACTATCTCATGCTTTTTGCTCTGGTTCGTCTTCACTGCCTTCTATATTCTTGTCTACAAGATCTTGCAATTCAGATAAAACTACGGCCAGACAATGGGGTTTCACACGGAAACATGGTGGTCCAGATCGGGTCACTGCCATTGTCACTTTGTTGTTCCCACATCACTCAGCCTGGACTAACACCAGTGTCGTTGTAGGTTAATTTCACCGGAGTCGTCGTCTCTATAAATGAGGTAGCCAAGAATGGGAGTAATTACATGTCACCGGAGGCCGCGGCAGCCTTGACACCAGATGGCGTCGACCGAGCCATTTACGGCAGCATCATGACGTTTGTACTCGAGATATTTACCATTACCGGCACGTGGACCATCAAGTCTTGTCTTCTGATACTTTATTCTCGTCTCACGTTAGTTGTTCATGGAATCCTAGTGTTCAAAAAGTCAAACATGCACATTACGGTACTAACTCTCGCTAGGAGACATATTCTAGCGAAGCAATACCTGATGGTCAAGATTGCGGCAGGCTACTGTGTAGTTACATATCTTGTCGTCATCTTCATGTTCGTATTCTACTGGTGCAGCCCGACGCCCGAATACTGGGCCGTCCCCGTTCGAATTGACCAATGCGCCACATATTACAACCACATGATCTTTGCAACAGCTTGCAATATATCATCCGATATCCTGCTACTACTAATCCCTATTCCTATTATTTTCAAGACGCGATTACCTACAAAGCGAAAGATTATTCTCGTTTGTATCCTCGGCCTGGGTGTATTCAACATCCTCGCCGCTATCCTAAACCGATACTACAACTTCAGCAACCCCAACTCGTACGTATTCTTGTACTGGTACGTTGCCGAGGTAGGAATCGCCATGTTGGTTGGAAATATGCCACTGTGCTGGCCGGTGTTCCGAACAGTGTTTGGCGGCACCGAAACGACTGATACCCCGTCATACCATGGATACACCATCAGTGGAGGAGGCCGCAAGAACAAGAAACCAAAAAATATTCTCAGCACGACTATCCTGGGGTCAACAATGTGGGATAAACTGGACGAACAGG